CACAAATGATACGTCACTGATTGGGCCATGTCATGTGATACCTAGCTGTGGGAGGCCGGAATGAGAGGTTCCTAGTTGTCGGTCACCGCTAAGTTCTAACACTAAAGTTCGCTAGGTAGATTCGCTACTGTCCAATTGTTTAAATTTTGTTGTTTCTAGCGGAGTAAAGTCTAAGTCATAGGTACCGCACTCTAGTTCGGAAAATGATGTTTTGTTAAACAAATCGAAGCGGTTACTGTTAGGTAGGTAGTCGTTCTCGTACACAGTTATAATTAACAAGTTAACATCAACTAAAGTTTAATTGGTAAATATAAACACACTTTAACTTTGAGCGTGTGTTTTAGACCTCATTATAACCGGCATTAGTGCAATAATTCGTACTGTGGTTTGATATTTGAAACGGGATGAAGTTTAGATTTTTAACTGCTAACACTATAAAAGTAATCTTTCGCACTACACTGACTACAGTATGTGTCGCACTACAATCCAGGTAGCGTACTCTATTATATTCAGTGCGACACAATATCCTATCTTATTTCCAAGTTCAGGTCAGATCCTATCCTTCTTTTGGATCATAAACTCATCAAGTGATTCGTCAGGCCGGTTCACGTTACTTATTTCGAAGTGATCTTGTGGACGCGATTCGTCGGTCACGTTATGTATTTCGATCCACTGATCATAATTCCTTCGGGTCAGTTCAATCCACGTATACAGTATGTGATCCACTGCAGAGTCGTAAGCAGCATATGATCCTAATTCCTATCACAAATGAAGTTATGTAAAATATAAGGTGGCAAAGATTTTTCTAAGAAAGCGTAGCTAGATTTAACTCTCCCGCAAATAAATTATAAGGCGGCAAATATTATGCTAAGAAAGCGTAGATTTAACTCTCCCGCAAATAAATTATAAGGTGGCGAATATTTTGCTAAGAAAGCGTAGATTTAACTCTCGCGCAAATAAATTATAAAGAGGCGAATATTTTGCTAAGAATGCGAAGATTTCATTCTCGCGTAAACAAACTAAAAAGGAGCGTGCAGCGCGCGTCTGACCGTTTGGCAAATATTTTGCTAAGAATGCGCATTTTCCTAACGTAAAATTCGCCTCCTTATGAAATATTTGCATCATCACGCGCAGCCTGGCAAATACATCATAACACGGCGCATATTTTGCTAAGATGGCAAATATTTCGTTAGCGCGGCAATTATTTGCGTAACATGGCAATGTTGCAACCCGGGAGGGGGCTTTACCAATCATCCACCAATTCTGTCATACACAAACTGCTCAATCTGCATCTCCTCTTCTCTACTGGGACATTGATAAAACAGACTGGAATGCTTGGTGTGGATCACTTAACAGGGCCCTTCTCCTTGGCATAACTGGCAGGATCAACTCTTACATAGACCCTCTAAAGCTGTGGCAAGACTTTAAAAACATTTTATCTGCGATTGGTAATGAATGGATTCCTCTCAAGAAAGTCAGTACCCACTCAAAACCTTTCTGGAACTCTCTCCTTACAGACCTTTCACGAACTCTTCAAGCTGCGCAGGAAACCATGAAAACCAGCTACACACCGTATAACATCTCCCTCCACAAACAAGCAAAGGAGGAGTTTTCTAATACCTTGATATCCGAAAAAAACAAATGGATTCATCAGCAACTGGAAAATCTCAATGTTGCTCAGTCTCAAATATTCTGGAAAAATTATAAGAAGACATTGACCAATAAGCCTAACGAGTACATGGGAAATCTTATGGATGGTGGTATCCTCCACTCTGACAGAACTCAGAAAGAAAACATCTTGTACAAATCATTCTTCTCGGGTGAACACATGAATGGATGCAGTTTTGATCATGTCTTCGAACAAGAAATCAATAGCTGCTATGACAACATTATATCAACTCAGTTCCCTACCGACCAATTAGATCCAATCATTAATGATCATCTGAATGGGAAAATAGGTCTAGAGGAAGTTACTTTAGCACTGAAGGCTCAAAATAGCAATGCCAAAAGTTTTGACACTGATAATCTTCACCCAAAAATCCTGAAACATCTGCCTGTGTCAGCTCTTCAGATTCTAACAAAACTATATGACCTTGTTCTTGAGACTGGTGTATGGGTCTGGGAGGTATCCAATGTCACTTTCATCAAAAAGGATGGGAAGGATAACTACATGAACCCCTCTGCTTATAGACCAATATCGATATCATCATATGTTGGAAAGCTGCTAGAAAAGATCTTGGAACGAAGAATAAAGCTCCATTGCGAACTAGAGGGCTTACTCGACGAAGAGCAAGAAGGCTTTAGACCTCAAAGAAATACTGCAAGGTATCTTTATAAATTAGTAGCTACTCTAGATGAATGCAAGAGGAAAAAACTCACTACTTTCCTACTATGCATCGATTTTAGCAAAGCATTTGATAGTGTATGGGTGAAAGGCCTGATTTTCAAGCTCAGCAAATACCAAATACAAGGGAACATTTTGCGGATAATAAATAACTTCCTGTTATCCCGCAAAGTACGGCTGAGGGTTAACAACAGTCTCGGATTTCAACGCTCATGTGGATGGTTTGGGCTTCCCCAAGGCTCTGTCCTTGCACCCCTGCTATTTATCCTCTACATCTCGGATATGTTATGCAAGGACCAGCTCCCACTGGAATGCAGCTCTAACTCAAGCCTCTTCAAATATGCTGATGATGGAAGCATAGCAGTCTCTCACATAGATCCTATATGTGCTCATCGAATTATGCAGTTGATGTGCAAGTACCTTCATGTCTGGTGCAGTAAGTGGAAACTTATCCCAAACTGCGACAAAAACAAGACCGAGTGTATTATGATCACACCAACATCCTCATCTGCACCTGATGTCACAGCCTTTGGACCACTCATTATCGGCAGTAGACCCATAACATATACATGTCAATCAACTGTTCTTGGACTGAGGATAGACGACAAACTTACGTTCAAGAGTCACGCAAAATTTAAATTGAAACAATGCTGGTTTGCCTGGTACAGGATCACTCAAAACTCCACCCGCCACAGAGGCCTGAATGCAAGCTCACTCAAAATGCTCTTCAAAACAGTAGTACTCACAAAACTTCTATATGCTGCTCCAATATGGCTAAAAGATAACCTAGACACTTTCAAAGACTTCTATGCCAGGGTCCTCTTGAAAATAAGTGGATCCACTCACCATCCTCCCAAAGATTTGACATCTGTCGCGCTTGGAATTCCACCCCTTGAGATATCCTACAAGATGATCACTATAAAATTCATAATAAAAGCACTTACAAGTGACCCATTTATGCAAGGACTCATCTTACAGCTAGAGGAGGCAAAGGCCCATCGATATCAGCACCATATTGATGGGATACGTAAGTTCCTAACGTGGACAAGGGGGTCCAACGAGCTCAACAGAAGCAGAATAGACCTTCTGACTAGTGTCCACAACGGTGTTGTCAGCTATTCAAAAGACGAAATAACCCGCTTTATGGACTTCACTTGGAATAAACATCTCCTACTGAACCCTAGAATAAATCCGGGTGAGATACTAGATAACATCGATGAGAGGAGCAAAAAGTTGTTTCCTCGCTACTCAAGCAGGAGCACAGACACTAAAGTAATGTCTCTCTTGCATGGCCATGACATCACCTTCACAGCATTCAAGGCAAGGGTTGCCAACAACTGCGACCCTCAGTGTCCGAATTGTCAGATGTTGGACAACAATTACCATCGAATCTTCTCTTGTCCACTGTACCGCTGTTCCTACAGAGAAACCATTCAAGAGCACTCCACTAGTGACCAACCATGCTGGTCTATCTTAAGAGATGGTAGTGATGGCAGCATCACTGCCTTCCGATCTTTAGCACAGATCGCCATCGATGAACTATCATAGAATTGATACTTATACTTATTAGTGCTCCTTCACCTCCATCCCCCTTCATGTCCTACATCTCCTTATGACATCACTCCCCCTTCAGCCTCTACTACTCCTTTACTACTCCATCTACTGCCTCATCTTCTGGACATCATTATCTTCTAGTTTAGTTGAGAATTCTCAACACCCACTTCCAAGTCGAGTACTCTCGACCCACTTAGTCCACATACCTTGCAAACTTACAGTAGGGTATTTGTAATGGTCTAAGTCCCTAATACACGCCAAAGACTAGATGGTTCCTCTATACTCAACCGTAGGAGAAGAGAATTAGGTGACTGTATTTTGTTCTAATGTTGATATTAATATAAGTATGTTCTAGTTGTTACTCCTTTTGTTTTAACGTTTTTATGGTACTCTCCTTAAATTATTTCAATGCAGTTACTCAGATGATTTGTAAATCAGGACACTTAAATAAAGACACATACTCTGCCCACAATAAGGGGCCATAATTTTTAAATTATGTAACAGTATAGAATTATTATTATTATTATTAGAGCCTTAATGCAGACCATAACTCCATAAGATCTGTCAGGTCACCTCTGCTGGGGGCCAGATGATCAATCTACTGACCATATGAGTGTTTTTACAAACTTGTGTAAAATCTTCCCATATTTAGTGGCATCATTCTAAGGTACAATTTGAACAAGTTACAATGATTATCTAATGAATTATATTATTATCTAATGAATTATATTACAAATCTATAAAAAATTCATTGATTTTGAGATTTGAAAACCAATTTCCCTTTCTTTAATTTCATTGTTTTGTGGATAATGTTTGTACTCCTCATCTTATTGCTGCCACAATATGTCATAATTGGTTGAATTGTAGCAGGCGGTTCTTAAGGATGATTTTATCTTTTATAGATGATCAGCAGTTATAAAACTGCTTAATTTAATAATAATTAAAAATAGCTTGAGTCAGATCTGGGCCCTATACAAGGTCCTGATAAGAATTTAACTTGTTTAATACTAGCTCGTTACTGGAGGCTTTGTGATTTGTGGAAATGTTATAATGACACAGTATACGTTTCAGATTATAAATTTTAATTTCAACATCTTATCAGGCATGAAAGAATGGAAAACAAAACTTTTACTCCTCTTTGTACTGTCTTGGAGCTAGTAAGTTATTTAAAAGTGCTAATTTGTGATCTTGTTCAAAATGAAGCTGTCTTAAGTACATGTTTATGTCTCAAAACCTGTAGTTCAAGCTTTGCCAGTTTGGTTCCCTGTTTTGAAATCAGCTGATGTGCCAACTATCTATACCACGACATTTTAAACTAAATTTGAATATTGTTACCAATTTACATAATATCTGTTGAACTTTATTCGAAAGATTTTTCTAGGGGTGGGGTTGGACATGCGACCACATTGTAAAATCCATAAATAGCTGTCACATGTCAAAGGCGATATGCTGTGCTTCCCCAACTGTAGCAGATCTTCTGTGATGGAAATATCATATTATATTATCTAGTTCTTTAATCCTAATTCACTAAATCTATTGGTTACTATTGATATTGTATTAAAATATTTTACATGTGAATAAAATTATTATAAGTAACATGTTATTCCAGTGGTTTAGTAACCTTAAATTCCCGTTATTTCAGGTTCAGCGATAAATTTATCAGCTCACAGTAGAGAAGTTCTAGAAAGCGCAGCTGCTACATTCACTGTAAAATGTGAAATCAGTAGTTTGACTGCAGAGGTGACCACCGTCGTGTGGAAATTGGATAGTACAATCTTGACCGATGACAACACCTACACACCAGATTTGGGAGCAGCTTCGTACATTAGTGGAGATGGAACAGATGGAACACAAACAACCACCTTGAAGGTGGCAGGTTCTGATACTACAAGGGATGACATGCAGTTTACTTGTGTAGTTACTGATCCTGCTGATAGCACTGGCGCTACAACCAAGGAGGAATATCCTGAACTTAGATTTTACAGTAAGTCTTGCTATCTCAGCTTTAATTGATGTATCAAAAGTCGTCCTTCTCGTTTAAACCAAATTCTCGACAGAAGTCAAAACAAAAGGACTGATTCGGAACTAAAACATTACTGTGACAGTTCTGCTTCAACTCTAAAAGTCTAGATTCGACAATTCTACACCACTGTTTCAGTGCTACAATAGAGATTCACATATTTTACCACCTTGGTAATATCACGTATTAAATTGTCATAATATGTATAACAACAAACAATGATTTAAAATTTATAAATAACAAAATTTCAATTTCAGCTATAACTCCACACGATAGAAGTATTACAACTGGTGTAGAACAGACGATATCATGTGACATAGCCGGGCTTGAAAATAGAGCCGAAGTTAAGTGGATAGATCATAACGGTGATGATGTTCCCACTGATGACACTTCTAATTATATTGTCGATGATGGGACAGCTACATTTTTAAATGGAGCACAGACACCAATACTAACTATAAAGACAACTATCTTGTCGACGCTCAGCTCTGCTACAACATACAAATGCTCAGTGACGTCAAGATATTACCCTGGATCCCCAGTATACGAAAAGAGCGTTGTAGTTACTCCCATCGGTGAGTCACATTATTTCAATTGCTAAAATATTAGGAGAACACTGCAAAAGGCACGCTCCAAAAAGTAGTACAAATCAATATTCAATAACAACACAATTATTTCGGTCGATGAATAATCACTAATCATATTGTTGATCTCTTATCTAAAAAACAATGCCTGCATGTCCTGTTAAGTGATGATATAAACTTGTTTTGTGATTCTTTTTTCTATGGTCATTATTTTAATTTCAATTTATTAATTCATTGATACAACTACAATCTACATGTATCAGATAAATATAATTTACTGTTATCAAGAAAACTATAAAATTATCTGAAAACAATTGCAATGATAAATGGTAAAGCATTCCCGCTCTTAGACACTGAGCTGTTGGCACGCTGTGATGAGGCAACTTCCTTTAATAACAACATGTTATTTTCAGTGGTCACCGCTGGGAACAAAGAAGTACTCAGAGGAAAGGACGCAGTAGAGATATCTTGCAAAGTGACCGGTTTAACTGCAGCATTGCAGACTGTAAAATGGCAGAAATCTGATGGTACGGACGTAACGACTGGTGAGACCGGTTATACCTCTAACGAAGGTTCACTTGTTGGAGATTCTCAAACTACCACTCTGACTGTTGCTAGTGCACAGAACACCGCTGATTCAACTTACAACTGTCTGATCACACCTGCAGCCCGAGATGATGCGACAGAAGTTTCAACGTCCGTAACCTTGAATACCTTCAGTGAGTGATTACTATTCCGTACTATTCAGAGAAAACTAATACAAATTTAAACATTTTTCAAAAATAAACTAGCTGTCTTATTCTAATTTTGCAGCAGTAATCTTTCTTAATTTAGGCTATTTTAGTTACAACTACATGTAATAATATTTTAACATACCAAATGTTTTGTTGTTGTTGTAAAGACCCGTATAGAGCCACCTCTAAGGGCTTTGAGCCAGTTTATTAAATATAATATAATAATCAATAATATCGAAAGTCGTTTCAAAATATTTTCAAACTCAAAGTTGAAATCACACTCACACTAAAAAGATCAATTATTTTGTCAAATAGTAAAAATTAAATAAAAAAAAACTCTCGACACATTACAGTACGTAAGCATGATTAGCATCAGCATGCCTTTCATTTTATTTGTACCACTTAAGTCCCAGAACCTTTTATCTTTTAATTCTGCTTGCTATAGTTTGTTATAATATACGGCTATTCTAATTTCTAGAAATTTTCAAGCGTGACGATGAAAATTTTATCGCGAGAATTATCTTTAAGATTTTGTGCATTAAAAAGCCGCGCGGAGTGGGGTAAGGCTTGCTGTTATCAGCGCTTTGGCAGTGAAAAATATGCTGAAATATGTCAGTCCATTAAGCGAACGTTGTTTATTACTGCTCGTTTATTGTGTGTTTGCTGTCGTCCTATGTTATGTTATGTTATGATATGATGTCATGATTTAGCGATTATTGGTCGCTGTATTACTCAATCATCCCTCATCTATTGGACTTCCTCAAACCAGGTACGTTGTGTAGCAGAAATGCTGGCCAGCTGTCCTCTGAGTTAGCTAGTGTTGACTGTTGCTCAAGAAGCACGCGTTTTGCGTTCGATTTGTAAATATTTATTGAAAATAAGCTAGGTAGGGACGTGATGTTCTTGTTGGTGTCTGTTAGAGCTAGTAAAGGTCCTTTAAAAAAGATGGATGCTTTGAAACATCGGTTATTGTACGTATCTAGCCATTCGCTACTGTTCTCATGATTTGAACCATGCGTGGGTATGTTATCTGGAAACAAATTTCTAATTGATACAGGTACTGTGTTAGGAAAGTGCTTCATGCGGTGCATTAATGTAAGCGCATTCTTTACGATGATGCCGTGTATTGTCAAAATCTCAAATTTGCAGAATGCTTCTCTGGTGTGAGCTGGCAATTTGCCGTCTTTGTAAAAGTAATTTACATATCCTGGCATAACCATCCGCATTCCTTGCTTTTTTTAACGTTTTGTAAGTTTGAAAGAATCAAATTATTTCAGCCGTCGGTCCAGATACTCCTAAAAAAGCCACCACCGCTGTGGCTCAGACATTGACTTGTGAAATCGGAGATGTGGTTACAGATGTCACTGTGTCGTGGAAGGATAATTCTGGGGCTGCTATAACAAGTGGTAGTGGAGGGTACACCATCGCACAGGGAACAGCTGTCTCTGGTACCAAAATTCAGACATCAACTCTGACCATTGATGTTACCACTCTTACAAGTGTAGCTGCAGCTGCGGGTGTGAATCCCGTGACATACCAATGTGCTGCGGAATCTAAAGAATATCCAGATTCAGCAACATCTACTTTCAAAGACATTGTTGTCGACTTCCTTACTTTCGGTAAGTTTCTTAGAACTTGGTGGGTATTTATAACTGCCCATAAATGATGCTCTGCTGTTTTAACTTTATATCTAAGATAACTTGAACTTACATCCTACTGTTGAAACAAAATTAAACTCATCATAGGATCCAGTGAATTTAGTTGAGAAAGTTCAATGATTCAGTTTCTGTACAATACTGTTTATATTTTTTATTGCGGGCTTATTCTAAATGACTGATTGTTTCAGGTGTAGAAGCTAAGGGTAGCGAAGTGCTGGCAAACACACAAGCTACAATATCTTGTGTAGTAAGTGGTTTGAGTAAGCAGCTGGAGGCGGTAACATGGAATAAACCTAGTTCGGGTGGTGTTATAACTGACGGTACTGACAGCTATGCTATTGACATTGGAACTTACGTTCCTGGCACCAACATTCAAACTACAATTCTGACCGTACCTGGTGCTGAAAACACGGCTGATGCTCTTTTCACTTGTGTAATTCAATCTGACGAGCATGCAAAAACATCAGCGTCTCCAGAAGAGACTGCTGTCAACTCGAACGTTTTCAGTGAGTAATCTTGATACATTTTTAGAACCACAATGCATATAACGAGGTCTTATTCGAATTTTGCAGCAGTAATCTTTCTTAATTTAGGCTATTTCAGGTACAACTACATGTAATGATATTTTAACATACAAATTGTTTTGTGAGTTTGAAAGAATCAAATTATTTCAGCCGTCGATCCGGAGACTCCTAAAAAAGCCACCACCGCTGTGGCTCAGACATTGACTTGTGAAATCGGAGATGTGGTTACAGATGTCACTGTGTCGTGGAAGGATAATTCTGGTGCTGCTATAACAAGTGGTAGTGGAGGGTACACCATCGCACAGGGATCAGCTGTCTCTGGTACCAAAATTCAGACATCAACTCTGACCATTGATGTTACCACTCTTACAAGTGTAGCTGCAGCTGCGGGTGTGAATCCCGTGACATACCAATGTGCTGCGGAATCTAAAGAATATCCAGATTCAGCAACATCTACTTTCAAAGACATTGTTGTCAACTTCCTTACTTTCGGTAAATTTCTTAGGAGTTGGTGGGTATTTATAACTGCCCATAAATGATGCTCTGCTGTTTTAACTTTATATCTAAGATAACTTGTTACATCCTACTGTTAAAACAAAATTAAACTCATCATAGGATCCAGTGAATTTAGTTTAGAAAGTTCAATGATTCAGTTCCTGTACTTTTTTATCAAGACACTTATTTTACTTCGGAGTATTCCAACAGCCACATTATTACACAAGTGCAACCAGCCAATTACAGGAAGCCGAAGGATTTGTTTTTAGCCAGTGACGGTTAAGGTAGTGTGTACCATACTTTCTTCGCCCGAGACTTTGCTGCAATGTGCAGCTCCTCATTTAACCCTCACACCCGATTTCTCGAGTATTCGGCTGAGTATACCGGGGGGCTGCATAGACCACTCATGATCCTTAGCTGAACGTCAACGGCACTCACCCCACGACCAGGCAGACAGTGGAATTTGAACCCGCAACCTCACGATTGCAAAGCTGGCGTTCTAACCAACTGCGCTACCTGGCCGTCAAAACTGCGCTACCTGGCCGTCAAACTGCGCTACCTGGCCGTCAAAACAATGCTGTTGATATTTTTTATTGCGGGAATATTTTAAATGACTGATTGTTTCAGGTGTAGAAGCTAAGGGTAGCGAAGTGCTGACAAACACAGAAGCTACAATATCTTGTGTAGTAAGTGGTTTGAGTAAGCAGCTGGACGCGGTAACATGGCAGAAAGCTTCGGGTGATGCTATAACTCACGATACTGGAGGTTATCAGATTGCTATTGGAAGTTACGATAAAGGTTCAAACAGTCAAACTACAATTCTGACCGTACCTGCTGGTGAAAACACGGTTGATGCTATTTTCACCTGTGTAATCCAATCTGACGAGCATGCAAAAACATCAGAAGAGACTGCTGTCAACTCGAACGTTTTCAGTGAGTAATCTTGATACATTTTTAGAACCACAATGCATATAACGAGGTCTTATTCGAATTTTGCAGCAGTAATCTTTCTTAATTTAGGCTATTTCAGTTACAACTACATGTAATGATATTTTAACATACCAAATGTTTTGTGAGTTTGAAAGAATCAAATTATTTCAGCCGTCGATCCGGAGACTCCTAAAAAAGCCACCACCGCTGTGGCTCAGACATTGACTTGTGATATCGGAGATGTGGCTACAGATGTCACTGTGTCGTGGAAGGATAATGCTGGGGTTGCTATAACAAGTGGTAGTGGAGGGTACACCATCGCACAGGGATCAGCTGTCTCTGGTACCAAAATTCAGACATCAACTCTGACCATTGATGTTACCACTCTTACAAGTGTAGCTGCAGCTGCGGGTGTGAATCCCGTGACATACCAATGTGCTGCGGAATCTAAAGAATATCCAGATTCAGCAACATCTACTTTCAAAGACATTGTTGTCAACTTCCTTACTTTCGGTAAGTTTCTTAGAACTTGGTGGGTATTTATAACTGCCCATAAATAGCTGAACGTCAACGGCACTCACCCCACGACCAGGCAGACAGTGGAATTTGAACCCGCAACCTCACGATTGCAAAGCTGGCGTTCTAACCAACTGCGCTACCTGGCCGTCAAAACTGCGCTACCTGGCCGTCAAACTGCGCTACCTGGCCGTCAAACAATACTGTTGATATTTTTTATTGCGGGAATATTTTAAATGACTGATTGTTTCAGGTGTAGAAGCTAAGGGTAGCGAAGTGCTGACAAACACAGAAGCTACAATATCTTGTGTAGTAAGTGGTTTGAGTAAGCAGCTGGACGCGGTAACATGGCAGAAAGCTTCGGGTGATGCTATAACTCACAATACTGGAGGTTATCAGATTGCTATTGGAAGTTACGATAAAGGTTCAAACAGTCAAACTACAATTCTGACCGTACCTGCTGGTGAAAACACGGTTGATGCTATTTTCACCTGTGTAATTCAATCTGACGAGCATGCAAAAACATCAGAAGAGACTGCTGTCAACTCGAACGTTTTCAGTGAGTAATCTTGATACATTTTTAGAACCACAATGCATATAACGAGGTCTTATTCGAATTTTGCAGCAGTAATCTTTCTTAATTTAGGCTATTTCAGTTACAACTACATGTAATGATATTTTAACTTACCAAATGTTTTGTGAGTTTGAAAGAATCAAATTATTTCAGCCGTCGATCCGGAGACTCCTAAAAAAGCCACCACCGCTGTGGCTCAGACATTGACTTGTGATATCGGAGATGTGGTTACAGATGTCACTGTGTCGTGGAAGGATAATGCTGGGGTTGCTATAACAAGTGGTAGTGGAGGGTACACCATCGCACAGGGATCAGCTGACTCTGGTACCAAAATTCAGACATCAACTCTGACCATTGAAGTTGCCACTCTTACAACTATAGCTGCAGCTGCGGGTGTAAATCCCGTGACATACAAATGTGCTGCGCAATCTGTAGAATATTCGGATTCAGCAACATCTACTTTCAAAGACATTGTTGTCAACTTCCTGACTTTCGGTAAGTTTCTTAGGACTTTGTGGGTATTTATAACTCCCAATAAATGACACTTTGCTGTTTTAACTTTATGTTAAAACAAAATTACACTCATCATAGGATCTGTAGGTCTGCTAACATTTTCCTTTTGTAAAGGAGGATTAATCTTTGGTCAAACAGTAATTATGTGCGTCATTCTTCGGTAAAATTTTGTTCAAATCAGCTGATACAAAAGATATAATTATGAGTATCAAAAAACGTGACATTCCTTCGAGTGAAGATTCGTCTGAGTTGACTTCAGAAACTGAGTCTGAAAATGAAGAAGGACTTGGTGAGCCCAGGGTGATACATCTGTCTACATCTCAATTCTTGACAAAAAGTCTTCTCTGTTGATCTCAATACCTCAAATTTAGTTCTTCTTTTTGGATCATTTGACAAAACAACTTCACTGTAAATCTCTATACCTCTAATTTATAATATAATCTTCTTTTTCAATCTTAGTTATAATTTACTGATGAGTTATGAAACGAAATTATTTCATGCTCATTTGCTTCTATGATCAACATTTTAATTTCTTGGCGAAGATCACAAAAATCTTCTTTTTTTTGTTAAAACTGCTGCAATTACTTTGTTAAATTAATATATAAATTAAGTTTTAAATATATTAATTGGCAGATTTCAGTCAATAATACATTCACAGTTACTATCTCATTGATAACTTGGATGTTATCAACGAGATAACAACTTAAGTTTTCAATTATTAATTGTTGATCATAAGATTATAATATTGTTTTTCTCATTTCGGAGAGTCAAGTGGAGAAGTAAAAGGTAATTTACCAAGAGACTAGTTAATATATCCTCATTTTGTGAGGGAGGATTAATCTTGGTAAATAGTTAGTTTCTCCGTCATCCTCCCGTTAAACCATGTCCTAATCAGATTATATACCCACTGCTTCGAATGAAGTGACTCCTGCTGCTGTTTCTGGAATTCCTACTGAAGTAACTGCAAATGAGCAGATTTCAGAAACTGAGTCTGAAAATGAAGATGAACTTGGTGAGCCCAGGGTGAAGCATCTGTCTACTTCTCAATTCTTGACAAAAAGTCTTCTCTGTTGATCTCAATACCTCAAAAGCTCAAATTTAGTTCTTCTTTTTGGATAATTTGACAAAACAACTTTACTGTAAATCTTGATACCTTAAATTTATAATGCAATCTTCTTTTTCGATCTTAGATAATTTACTGATGAGTTGGAGAACAAAAATTTTGTATGCTCATTTGTTTCTTAGATGTATGTCTGTTTCTAATGAAGAACAATTTAATTTCTTGGCAATGATCAGTAATTGATCACGGAACTCTTCATTTTGGTAAAATGCTGCAATTACTTTGTTAAATTAGTATATAAATTAAGTTTAAATCTATTAAAATTGGTAGATTTCAGTCAATACATTGATGATTATTATCTCATTAATAACTAGGATTTTTTTCAACGAGAAAACAACTTAAGTTTTCAATTATTAATTTATTAATAATTGTTGATCATAAGATTATATTGTTATATTGCCAATGGGTACTTTTTGTGAAACTTGATCTCGAGATAGCAGTTGACCAACAAACAATGACCGGTGACCGAACTTTTGAGGGGGTTTCGGACTCCAACCTCCAAAAGGTGCCAGTGGGGCAGCCACGCCCATATTTTGTCAAAATTAGGCCAAATTAGACCAAATGCCCTGAACATGTCCAAAACCAAGGTTTTAGGTGCTCTTGTAGCTAGTGGTCTCCTGAACTCATATATGAAATTTCATCAAGATTAGACAAAAAATGACTGAGTTATGTGTCAAAAACAATATTCCCATATTTGGGCATACTCACCTAATTTAATAGATTTCGGCCCATAATCATAAATTGGTCAAATATCAATATATTTTGAATGAGACTAACATTATATGAAAGGTAAGCCTAAATTACTTGAATCCTATGTAAGTTATAGCTTTTATCAATATTCGCGGAATTGATCTCATTAAAAATGTAACAACTCAATCAGCTTTCAAAATTTGTGCATGAAATTTTTTTTTGCCTGGCAAATTTTGGAATTTGGCCGCCAAATTTTGTTTATGTAATTAATGATAATAAGCAATATGTGAACGACCCCTAAGCGCTGACCTTTGACCGGCGATAATTTCGGCTAGGAACAATATTTTTCCATGGTACCAAAAGCAGCTGATAGATATCATTCCCCTCTATCAGAAACAACTATAAAATATAATTTTGACGAAGATAATTTTGATGAAGACCTTCCGGCCCCTGTGCAGAAAGTTCAAAGATTCAGAACCCGTATAAAACTGATAAAAATGTGTTACACTGGTTCACTATAATTGAATGATTATTTCAGGTGTAGAAGCTAAGGGTAGCGAAGTGCTGCAAAACACAGACGCTACAATATCTTGTATAGTAAGTGGTTTGACTAAGCAGCTGGACGCGGTAAAATGGGAGAAACCTAGTTCGGGTGGTGTTATAACTGACGATACTGAAGGTTATCAGATTGACATTGGAACTTACGCAACTGACACCAACACTCAAACTACAATTCTGACCGTACCTGCTGGTGAAAACACGGCTGATGCTGTTTTTACCTGTGTCATTCAATCTGACGAGCATGGAAAAACATTAGCGTCTCCACAAAAGACTGATGTCAACTCGAACATTTTCAGTGAGTAATCTTGCTACATTTTGAGCACCACAATGTGTATAACGAGCTGTCTTATTCAAATTTTGCAGCAGTAATCTTTCTTAATTTAGGCTATTTTAGCTACAACTACATGTAATGATATTTTAACATACCAAATTTTTTATGAGTTTGAAAGAATCAATTTATTTCAGCCGTCAGTCCAGATACTCCTAAAAAAGCCACAACCGTTGTGGCTCAGACATTGACTTGTGATATCGGAGATGTGGCTACAGATGTCACTGTGTCGTGGAAGGATAATGGTGGGGTTGCTATAACAAGTGGTAGTGGAGGGTACACCATCGCACAGGGAACAGCTGACTCTGCTGGTGACAGAATTCAGAAATCAACTCTGACCATTGATGCTGCCACTCTTCCAAGTGTAGCTGGAGCAGGAAATCCCGCGACATACAAATGTGCTGCGCAATCTGTAGAATATTCGGATTCAGCAACATCTACTTTCGAAGACATTGTTGTCGACTTCCTTACTTTCGGTAAGTTTCTTAGGACTTGGTGGGTATTTATAACTGCCCATAAATGATGCTCTGCTGTTTTAACTTTATATCTAAGATAACTTGAACTTACATCCTACTGTTAAAACAAAATTAAACTCATCACAGGATCCAGTGAATTTAGTTGAGAAAGTTCAATGATTCAGTTTCTGTACAATACTGTTTATATTTTTTATTGCGGGCTTATTCTAAATGACTGATTGTTTCAGGTGTACAAGCTAAGGGTAGCGAAGTGCTGACAAACACAGAAGCTACAATATCTTGTATAGTAAGTGGTTTGAGTAAGCAGCTGGACGCGGTAACATGGCAGAAAGCTTCGGGTGATGCTATAACTCACGATACTGGAGGTTATCAGATTGCCATTGGAAGTTACGATAAAGGTTCAAACAGTCAAACTACAATTCTGACCGTACCTGGTGCTGAAAACACGGCTGATGCTCTTTTCACCTGTGTCATTCAATCTGACGAGCATGGAAAAACATTAGCGTCTCCACAAAAGACTGATGTCAACTCGAACATTTTCAGTGAGTAATCTTGCTACATTTTGAGCACCACAATGTGTATAACGAGCTGTCTTATTCAAATTTTGCAGCAGCAATCTTTCTTAATTAAGGCTATTTTAGCTACAACTACATGTAATGATATTTTAACATACCAAATTTTTTATGAGTTTGAAAGAATCAATTTTTTTCAGCCGTCAGTCCAGATACTCCTAAAAAAGCCACAACCGCTGTGGCTCAGACATTGACTTGTGATATCGGAGATGTGGCTACAGATGTCACTGTGTCGTGGAAGGATAATGGTGGGGTTGCTATAACAAGTGGTAGTGGAGGGTACACCATCGCACAGGGAACAGCTGACTCTGCTGGTGACAGAATTCAGAAATCAACTCTGACCATTGATGCTGCCACTCTTCCAAGTGTAGCTGGAGCAGGAAATCCCGCGACATACAAATGTGCTGCGCAATCTGTAGAATATTCGGATTCAGCAACATCTACTTTCGAAGACATTGTTGTCGACTTCCTTACTTTCGGTAAGTTTCTTAGGACTTGGTGGGTATTTATAAAGTTATAACTGCCCATAAATGATGCTCTGCTGTTTTAACTGTATATCTAAGATAACTTGTTACATCCTATTGTTAAAACAAAATTAAACTCATCATAGGATCCAGTGAATTTAGTTGAGAAAGTTCAATGATTCAGTTCCTGTACAACACTGTTGATATTTTTTATTGCGGGCATATTTTAAATAACTGATTGTTTCAGGTGTAGAAGCTAAGGGTAGCGAAGTGCTGCAAAACACAGACGCTACAATATCTTGTGTAGTAAGTGGTTTGACTAAGCAGCTGGACGCGGTAAAATGGGAGAAACCTAGTTCGGGTGGTGTTATAACTGATAATACTGACGGTTATCAAATTGACATTGGAACTTACGAACCTACCACTAACATTCAAACTACAATTCTGACCATACCTGCTGGTCAAAACACGGCTGATGCTCTTTTCACCTGTGTCATTACATCTGACGAGCATGCAAAAACATCAGAAGAGACTGCTGTCAACTCGAACGTTTTCAGTGAGTAATCTTGATACATTTTGAAAACCATAATGTGTATAACGAGGTCTTATTCGAATTTTGTAGCAGTAATCTTTCTTAATTTAGGCTATTTTAGTTACAACTACATGTAATGATACTTTAACATACCAAATGTTTTGTGAGTTTGAAAAAATCAAATTATTTCAGCCGTCGTTCCGGAGACTCCTAAAGAAGCCACCACCGCTGTGGCTCAGACATTGACTTGTGATATCGGAGATGTGGTTACAAGTGTCACTGTGTCGTGGAAGGATCATGCTGGGGTTGCTATAACAAGTGGTAGTGGAGGGTACACCATCGCACAGGGAACAGCTGACTCTGCTGGTGACAGAATTCAGAAATCAACTCTGACCATTGATGCTGCCACTCTTCCAAGTGTAGCTGGAGCAGGAAATCCCGCGACATACAAATGTGCTGCGCAATCTGTAGAATATTCGGATTCAGCAACATCTACTTTCGAAGACATTGTTGTCGACTTCCTTACTTTCGGTAAGTTTCTTAGGACTTGGTGGGTATTTATAACTGCCCATAAATGATGCTCTGCTGTTTTAACTTTATATCTAAGATAACTTGTTACATCCTACTGTTGAAACTAAATTAAACTCATCATAGGATCCGGTGAATTTAGTTGAGAAAGTTCAATGATTCAGTTCCTGTACAATACTGTTGATATTTTTTTATTGCGGGCTTATTTAAATGACTGATTGTTTCAGGTGTAGAAGCTAAGGGTAGCGAAGTGCTGGCAAACACAGAAGCTACAATATCTTGTGTAGTAAGTGGTTTGAGTAAGCAGCTGGAGGCGGTAACATGGAACAATCCTTCGGGTGATGCGATAACTGCGAGTGCTGGCAGCTATGCTATCGAGCTCGGAACTTACGATCCTGCCACCAACATTCAAACTACCATTCTGACCGTACCTGCTGGTGAAAATGGAGCTGATGCTGTTTTCACCTGTGTCATTCAATCTGACGAGCATGCAAAAACATCAGAAGAGACTGCTCATGCTGTCAACTCGAACGTTTTCAGTGAGTTATCTTGATACATTTTGAGAATCACAATGTGTATAACGAGGTCTTATTCGAATTTTGCAGCAGTAATCTTTCTTAATTTAGGCTATTTTAGTTACAACTACATGTAATGATACTTTAACATATTAAATGTTTTGTAAGTTTGAAAGAATCAAATTATTTCAGCCGTCGGTCCAGATACTCCTAAAAAAGCCACCACCGCTGTGGCTCAGACATTGACTTGTAATATCGGAGATGTGGCTACAGATGTCACTGTGTCGTGGAAGGATCATGCTGGGGCTGCTATAACAAGTGGTAGTGGAGGGTACACCATCGCACAGGGAACAGCTGACTCTGCTGGTGACAAAATTCAGAAATCAACTCTGACCATTGATGTTGACACTCTTACAAGTGTAGCTGGTGCTGCGAATGGTTCACCCGTGACATACAAATGTGCTGCGGAATCTAAAGAATATCCGGATTCAGCAATATCTACTTACAAAGATGTCATTGTCATCTTCAATAATTTTGGTAAGTTTCTTAGGACTTTGGAGATTTTTTCAACTTGTCACAATTAATAATGATCGAGTTTTTTCACTTGATTTCTAATTGAAACAATAAAAGTTTATTGTTGGTATGTAGTAAAACACCATGGGATCTAATTGGTTAAGTGCAGAAAGTTTAATGATTCAGAACCCGTATAAAACTGATAGAAATGTGTTACACTGGTTCACTTTAATTGACTGATTGTTTCAGGTGTAGAAGCTAAGGGTAGCGAAGTGCTGGCAAACACACAAGCTACAATATCTTGTGTAGTAAGTGGTTTGAGTAAGCAGCTGGAGGCGGTAACATGGAATAAACCTAGTTCGGGTGGTGTTATAACTGACGGTACTGACAGCTATGCTATTGACGTTGGAACTTACGTTCCTGGCACCAACATTCAAACTACAATTCTGACCGTACCTGCTGGTGAAAACACGGCTGATGCTGTTTTCACCTGTGTCATTACATCTGACGAGCATGCAAAAACATCAGAAGAGACTGCTGTCAACTCGAACGTTTTTAGTGAGTAATCTTGATACATTTTGAGAACCACAATGTGTATAACGAGGTCTTATTCGTATTTTGCATCAATAATCTTTCTTAATTTAGGCTATTTTAGTTACAACTACATATTATTGTAATGATACTTTAACATACCAAATATTTTGTGAGTTTGAAAGAATCAAATTATTTCAGCCGTCGATCCGGAGACTCCTAAAAAAGCCACCACTGCTGTGGCTCAGACATTGACTTGTGATATCGGAGATGTGGCTACAGATGTCACTGTGTCGTGGAAGGATCATGCTGGAGCTGCTATAACAAGTGGTAGTGGAGGGTACACCATCGCACAGGGAACAGCTGACTCTGGTACCAAAATTCAGACATCAACTCTGACCATTGATGTTGGCACTCTTACAACTGTGGCTGCGGGTGGTTCACCCGTGACATACAAATGTGCTGCGGAATCTAAAGAATATCCGGATTCAGCAACATCTACTTTCAAAGATATCGTTGTTAGCTTCCTCACTTTTGGTAAGTTTCTTAGGACTTGGTGGGTATTTATAACTGCCCATAAATGATGCTCTGCTGTTTTAACTTTATATCTAAGATAACTTGTTACATCCTACTGTTGAAACTAAATTAAACTCATCATAGGATCCGGTGAATTTAGTTGAGAAAGTTCAATGATTCAGTTCCTGTACAATACTGTTGATATTTTTTATTGTGTGCTTATTTTAAATGACTGATTGTTTCAGGTGTAGAAGCTAAGGGTAGCGAAGTGCTGGCAAACACACAAGCTACAATATCTTGTGTAGTAAGTGGTTTGACTAAGCAGCTGGAGGCGGTAACATGGAATAAACCTAGTTCGGGTGGTGTTATAACTGACGGTACTGACAGCTATGCTATTGACGTTGGAACTTACGTTCCTGGTACCAACATTCAAACTACAATTCTGACCGTACCTGCTGGTGAAAACACGGCTGATGCTGTTTTCACCTGTGTCATTACATCTGACGAGCATGCAAAAACATCAGAAGAGACTGCTGTCAACTCGAACGTTTTCAGTGAGTAATTTTGATGCATTTTGAGAACCACAATGTGTATAACGAGTTCTTATTCGAATTTTGCAGCAGTAATCTTTTTTAATTTAGGCTATTTTAGTTACAACTACATAATATTGTAATGATACTTTAATGATACTTTAATGATACTTTAACATACGTACCAAATGTTTTGTGAGTTTGAAAGAATCAAATTATTTCAGCCGTCGATCCGGAGACTCCTAAAAAAGCCACCACCGCTGTGGCTCAGACATTGACTTGTAATATCGGAGATGTGGCTACAGATGTCACTGTGTCGTGGAAGGATCATGCTGGGGCTGCTATAACAAGTGGTAGTGGAGGGTACACCATCGCACAGGGAACAGCTGACTCTGCTGGTGACAAAATTCAGAAATCAACTCTGACCATTGATGCTGCCACTCTTAAAAGTGTAGCTGGAGCTGCAAATCCCGCGACATACAAATGTGCTGCGGAATCTATAGAATATCCGGATTCAGCAACATCTGCTTTTAAAGACATTGTTGTCAACTTCCTTACTTTCGGTAAGTTTCTTAGGACTTGCTGGGTATTTATAACTGCCCATAAATGATGCTCTGCTGTTTTAACTTTATATCTAAGATAACTTGTTACATCCTACTGTTGAAACTAAATTAAACTCATCATAGGATCCAGTGAATTTAGTTGAGAAAGTTCAATGATTCAGTTCCTGTACAATACTGTTGATATTTTTTGTTGTGGGCTTATTTTAAATGACTGATTGTTTCAGGTGTAGAAGCTAAGGGTAGCGAAGTGCTGGCAAACACAGAAGCTACAATATCTTGTGTAGTAAGTGGTTTGAGTAAGCAGCTGGAGGCGGTAACATGGAATAAACCTAGTTCGGGTGGTGTTATAACTGACGGTACTGACAGCTATGCTATTGACGTTGGAACTTACGTTCCTGGTACCAACATTCAAACTACAATTCTGACCGTACCTGCTGGTGAAAACACGGCTGATGCTGTTTTCACCTGTGTCATTCAATCTGACGAGCATGGAAAAACATCAGCGTCTCCACAAAAGACTGATGTTAACTCAAATGTTTTTAGTGAGTATCTTACTAATATTAACTTTATACGGATGTATAAAGTCAAATGTTTTTAGTGAGTTCATTTATTCTAACTTAAAACAGATTGTTAGCAGTTTTAAGTAAGTATTGAAATAATTATTGGTGCATCCCGAAGTGGCGAAAGCAATTAATTAAAAATTTTACTAATCATATATTTATTAATGTAATTATGGTGTCAAACAACTTTTTAAATAGTTTAATTAAGGGTTTAGCAGAGGGTGATGGTGGTCTAAATTTTGTTTAACTGTTAAGATTAGGGCTACTACCCGCTTACATGTTTGTGAGACGCAGCACATTAACCACTACTAGAGTTCTAAAAATAATACCGCTTCTCTCAGATATGGAAGTAACTGGTCTGGAGGTTATCCAGGGTTCAACCGGCATAATGACATGTACTGTTACTGGAATATCTACGAAACCCGAAAAGATTGTGTGGGTTGTTGATGGTAAGGAGTACGAGGAAACTGAGGATAGTAATGACACCTCGGGTACTACCTATACGGTGAGTTCAGAGTTGTGACTTCTTTATATTATGTAAAAGTCAAATAGTTTATATTGGTTAAGAAGACAGGGTAATCTTCAGGATCTTCAAGCTGTTTCGTTTGTGTCCGGATATTGAATTACACCCTTAAATGACCGTGAAAACTGTTCATTGCATTACGCCATTGATATACCAATTATTCAACTTGGGGTCACAAATTATCAGTAGAATAGTAAAACTAAAATGAACTAGTTAACTAATTAATAGCAGCAACTCGTTAGTCCTTGTAAAATAGACTGAAAAAAAAGAAGCAATAGCTCAACCATTTGCGAGCTGCGCGTAGAGCACAATTTCGAGTAGATTAATTTTACTATGACAAGGTTTAATTAATGTTTTCAAATAGTTCATCATTAGCGTGACTCACTGCAGCAAAAAATAATTTTGTAGCATCTCTTGAGGCTCAGAATGTTGACTTGAAAATGCAAATCTTGTCTTACAGCAACATTCAGCAAACTATAGATAGCTTAAAGCAGACCTTTTGATTAATTACTTACACAATTTTTTCATTCTACGAGCTCCTTAACTTTAATTTTGAGTAGCAAGATTTAGTAAAGGTAGAGTTACAATATGATAGCTCTTGGATGCTTGCTATTGGATGAATTTTATGTTAATTTCTTTTGCTTTTTTGTTTTGTGTGTATCTTTTTTCCTTGCCCACAATACAAATACAAAGACTGATCCAAAGTGTATTAATACATTTTGAGAAATGAAAACCACGACGCTACACCGTGTTTTACTACTCTTTCTGGTTTACAAAATATGTTGCTTTCATAATGTTCAGTTGCAATAGTAAAGGCGTAGATCTGTCAGCTTCATATTATATAATTTCATGAACAAAGTCGGTGGAACATTTTCTAAAGATTATATGAAATTTTTGCCATGTTTTCCGTCCGATGTATTCGTTCATAATAATAATCTATTTACAGGTCTCATGTTTTACACAGATGTTTACTTTTCATAATATAGATAATATGTCAGGTTACTGTTGGAGACCTTGATTCAAGCACAGGGACTATTGAAAGTGAATTAAAGGCCAGTCCAGTGAGCGAAGATACGGATGTTACGTGTAAAGTAACCGTTGCAGCAGGGGATTTTACTGAAGACGGAGAACTTAAAACATTCGGTTAGTTCCTTATTGATTAATAAAACAGGGTATCATAATATTAGGATCATACTTTGTGTACTTACTTGTACTTACTTGTACTTACTTGTACATGTTGTAATGGTCTCCTCAATCATTCAAGTGACCGCTCTCTTGTATATGTTGTCTCAGTCTGGCTAATGTCCGCCACTCTTTCCTATCTCCTGCTGCAATGATCATGTTCTTGATGTTGGGGCTTGATCCAGATATTTCGTGACAAGTGTATTTTTTAAGATAGTTGTTTTCTCTTTACCTTTATCCTATGCTGGGGCTAGGTCGATCCAGATGAAATCTGGAACGAGTTTCGTGTCAACGCTTCTCTCCATTTATCCCTATCACACATGAGTAAACGCAGCTGGTCAGGTTCCATTCCAGTGTCTTCAAGTAGGACGTCCGGGAAGGTCTTATGTGGTCGTCCTCGATAACGCTGGCCATAGGATGGTTGCCAAAAAATGAGTTGTTGAGCAGGTTGGTCCTGTAGACGGTAGACATGTCCTGCAAACCGAAGTCTTCGTGTCTTTATAGTATCTGTCACTGATGGAATCTTTCCGTAAAGAACGGAGTTAGGTGTATGTGATTTCCATGAGATACCAAAGACCCTTCGTAGCATTCTAGTATAAACACCGTCTAGTGCTCTTATATCAGCCTTTTTAAGAGTCCAGGTTTCTGCACCATACAGCAGAACAGGTTCTACTACAGTTCGAAAAATCTTAAGTCTTGATCTTCCTAGACATATTAGATTTCCAAAAAGCATCTAGACTCTGTAAAGCTTTCCATGCGAGGCCTTTCCTGACATTGATGTCTCTGCTTGTTGAGGCTATAAAGGATCCTAGGTACTTAAAGTCATGAACTTCTTCTAAAGGGATGCCGTTAATAAAGACTCTTTCGTCTGAGTTGACAGGTCGCGGGATGTTGTAGGACATGTATTTGGTCTTTTCGATGTTAATAAGGAGACCATAACGGGCTGCTATGTCAGAAATGCTTTGGCAAAGGCGGCCATTTTCGCTGAAGCTGTCAGTGATTGTTGCTAGGTCATCGGCGAAGTCCAAATCAGCAATGTAGTTACTTCCAACTTTAAACCCATCACGTGGCCCTATTGCCAGTCTTAGTATGAAATCCAGGACGATGATAAAATTGAGAGGTGCAAGAACATCGCCCTGGAGAATTCCGAGGTTGGTAAGGAATTCTAAGGTTATACATTCAGGGGTCATGATTTTAGCCTTAGTGTTAATGTAGAGTGACATAATGGCTTTTATGATTTTTTTAGGAAAGCCGTAGGAAGCCAGGATGTCGGGAAGATGCGATCTGAAGATGCAGTCAAAGGCCTTTGAGAAGTCAATAAAGGAGATGACACAAGGGATGATTTTTGGATGACTAATTATCCTATACAATTAGTTATTAATTTTAACTGAAGTACATGAAGGATACTTCACAATTGAGTATAATTCATTTATTAATTGTAATTATTCAATCTCGTTAAACCTAATTAATTTTAACCAATCTTTCTTGCAGGACTTCACAGTCACGATGACGTTGTCTTAAAGGGAGGAGATATTAAACTGTCCTGTAAAGTGGACGGGTTCCATGATGATATCATTAAAGTAAACGTTAAATGGGCTACTGACGGTAATTGAAAACTATTTAAAATATTTCATGATTAATGAAGGGACTTTTAAAAACATCTTCTGTAGCAACAAATCCCTGGATTTCCAACTTGAACTATGCTTCATTTCAACGTCTGATATAATTTTCCACAATTTCTAACATTATGTCAGATTATCTCTTTTCTAGGCGGTGACATTACAGACACAGATTCCTATGATTGGAACGAAACCATAGTCGGACCAAAAAAAGTGGCATCACAACAATAACGTTATCAAGCGTGCAAGCAGACGCTACTTACACATGCAAAGTGGAAATTGACGGAAAAGAGGAAGAAAAGGAGGTGTCTGTGGACGTGTTTGGTGAGTTTATATTTGACTTTGGTCAGAAAACCCAGGATTAACTAGAACTGGACCAGCTCAATGGTGAGCCGTTATGCAACAATTCAGTTACATTGAGCATTCAACTTAGAGCCGTGAGCCGGCTAGCCGACGGCAATCGGCTGGCTAAGAGAAAAAATCGGCTGGCTAGCCGGCTAAGCCGGCTAAAACTGGGAATGGGATTACCAGATCCTGGTATCAGATATTGTACCAAAAATTTTTATTTTGCTAATATTACTATTTTGTATTAAAATTTATTGGCTTATACTTTATGTTTCTTTATACTTTATGTCGATTTTAAGGGCTAAACTTGAAATGGAAGGTAACAAGTGATACAATTTCATAACTTCAATAATAATAAGTTAGTCAATAATAAGTTAGGAAATTCTCACTGGCCAGAATTAATCTCTAATTTACTTATAAAACTTAACAAAAGATCTCTGTTGAGATTAATGAGCATAATGGCTTTTAAATTGTCTGATGAGATCTTTGATCTCCTATTGTTTACAGTCAGCCCTGCTGCTGACCATGTTCTTTCCACATCAGCAGAACCGAAAATATAGCGCATGCTAATTTTGAAAGAAGGGGCAATGTATCACTACGACATTTCCAAAATCTAAGGGTGTCCATCTTGGACAGAAAGTTTTTAGGGCACTGCAAGGCCTCATATACTTTAATTTCGTCTTTAAGACGATCCGTCTGACGGTTCTGAAATTTGTGAAATTTATCTCTAAAGTCGATCATGGTATAATTTGTTACATGCCGTCTAGATTCCCGGCCTGAAGTAGAGATAAGTGATAACTGCTGAAAATGTGTTAGCCGATCGGCTAGCCGATGGCAATCGGCTGGCTAAGCCGGCAATTTCAATCGGCTGGCTAAGCCGGCTTAGCCGGCTAGCTCACGCCTCTAATTCAACTTCCTCATTATACATTAGCGTTTTATTTATTTCATTGAAAATTTCTATGAGAGTTCTTAAACTGGCCGAAAACCGAATTTTCAATAAATTAAAAATACTGCATGCGCTTTAACGCATCAAATATTGTGGATGTGTGTAGATGTGTGTAGATGTGTGTAGATATGTGTAAATCTGTGTAGATGTATAGATGTGTGTAGATGTGGGTGTGTGGGTGTGGGTGTTTATTTGTTACTCCAGTGATTGTTATTGTTAGTTATTGGGAGTGTTGAGTGTAAACAAACCTTGCACAAACACACGGCACTTTGTTGTCTATATATTTATATATTACACACACTGCAGTGTACAAAATGTGCGTAATTTACTAATTTCACGCTGAATGTCTGTGTGAATTACTCATCGAATATTTCAGCTTCAATAGTTTTGAGATTTGCTTGAGATTCTGCCGATATTATAAGTTATTAAAGGTTTATTTATGAATACCGACTTGTATCAAGAAATCCTCTATTTCAGAGTTGGAACCTGTTGGCGACGTTATCAGTGAGAGTGCCACAGAGACTTTAGCTAGGATTCTGGTGACGGGCCTGTCAACTGCACACAGTGCTAATGATAAGCTCTCAATATATTGGAGTAAAGGTTAGTCTCGACTCTCGTGGTTTCTGTTAAAGCCAGCCTGGTATTCTTACTTTTGTGGTGATCACTGATTAGACAGTAGCCATGTTGTGATCGAAGATATCTAGATAATGAATATGATATGAATCAAGTCTCAAGCATACTTCGTAAATAAGAAGAAATAAATATAATCAATACTCTTCCGTCTTAGTTGGGAGTTCTACGGTGGTACCTGCAGGACAGCTGAAAGAGTATAATCTACCAAAGGATGGACTTAAGGTCAGGACTATGCTAAGATCTAAAAATATAACATACACCCATTAACAGTATCATATTTTGTTCATCTGTATAATTTGTCCATCAATGTCGGTTAACTATCAGTATCTCATTTATCTATCATTATCAATGAGTCACTATAGTCATCTATGAAGAAATCCCTCAATTTTGATGATAGTAAAGCATTTTCCTTTGGGGATGGGTTGAACCATTTCACTGGATCTTTATAAAGTAATCAAGGATTTATCTTCTTCTCCAATTCCAGATCACAGGTGTGACTGAAGACCAGACTTACAAAGTGACTGTCAGTGTGACTGTTGATGCTGGTGAAGATCCGCGAATCTTCAAGGAAGATGTCTTCATCGACTTTGTTGGTAAGTACATGATACCGTGTCATGCTTTCAGCTTTTTATAATTTTTGATCAGTCTAGGACATTCCTACTTTTAGCTTATTATAATTAATACTATAATATTATGTAAATAACTTATAAACTAAAGAATAATAATCACACACTCAATAATACCAGATAAGATCTAGTTGAGAAGGTGAGTGCGTGCTTTATTGCCGGACATGCCACCGTCCATTGCTTTTCTGCTTTAAAGTTATAGTGCTCTTGAGTCTTGTTTTAGGTTATAGTACGGGTAACTTTTGTTTTTGTGGCTTTAATGATAAATGATACCGCGTTAAAAGTATATGAAATGTGACAGCACATTTTATATCCTTGTACCAGTTACGTCACAACTCTCAAGTACTGCTCCTCATTCTTTAGAGGGTCAATTTGTGATATACCTCGGTTGAAATATTGCTTCCAGTAGTTCTGAAGTCTGAACAGCCAACCAAATAGTTGCTATCTTGAACCATAGCGTTAGCATATTTTTTGAAAATATGTTTCGTGGTTAAATATTTCTGTCCAGTGAAATAATCCTATTATGGTCATAAAATACGTAATGTCTTAATCAAAATAATTTGAAAATACTATTCTCTGATAAACAGATCTACTGTCAATGTTTATTATTCGAGAACTAACTAAACTAACTAACTAAGATCATAATTTAAGAGATTTGGTTGGGGAGGCGGGTTATCGTTGTGAAGTACTGTACTACTCACGAAGTACTGTACACGATGTTTTCAACCCACGAGTCAGAGAGCAAGCTCAACTGACGGCTCCCAGATGGCGTATGCACATGTAGGTGAATCGGTCTGATCAAGTATAGTTGGTTGGGCTGTGATTGTATCGACCATGAGTACCAAGCAAGCAGATATTTGAATTGACTAGATTTCCACTGGTAAGCGATTCGGAAAATCATGGGCCGGCATAGTGCCGGGGCGGGTATGATCCGCCAACCTCCGAGTTAACTAAGATCATGTTGTTTTGTAAGATTTGAGAACTAACTAAGTTATGTTGTTTTGTAAGATTTGAGAACTAACTAAGATCATGTTGTTTTGTGAGATTTGAGAACTAACTAAGTTATGTTTTTTTGTAAGATTGATTCGGGGGTGCTTTTTAGCTTCACTTGCTAGTTAATCAAATTAAATCTTGCGTCGCGTGATAGCAAATCTTTAAATGTAAAGGAGAATTCGCCATCTGTCGCGAAAACTGAAATAATCGCGATTTGTCGTGGAAAAGATTAATAGTCGCGGAAAATCTTTAAATCTCGTTTCCGCATATGCCACGATTTATACGGATTTATTATTTTCCTAGATTATCGCTAGTTATAACAATCTATGAACTACTACCGAGTTCTGTGATAAGTAAAAGTCAGCACACCAATTTAAGTTGCGGATGTTGGTGTTAATTCCCTAGGGAGGGCACATTCCATCAACACCTGTCAAGTTTTATAACAAACAATAGTACGTAGTTATCGTCTGTAGCAGTTTAAATATCATATAATGTATTGCAGTGTTAACGTATTTAAGTGAGGAGGTAATAGTTGATAACCGGCACAGTGAAACAGATCGTGAAATGTGAAATAGTTGTACAGATTGTGAAATGGCTGCACAGTGAAACATATTGTCAAAACGGTTGTTATAATATTATAGTTAGTCTTGAGAGTTTACAGCAAACTAGTAGCATCCCCTGCAGGAGTTTACCTATTATAATGCAGTATGACATACATAGTGTAGTATTTCGGATAGTATCTGCCCCAGTACCCCCATAATGGTGGTTGTGAATTGTGATATAAATTGTATGTTGAGGGTTTGCGGCTGAGTTGCTGGCGCTAAGTCACAGTTTTGCTAGAAAATATTTCAATTGTATAAGTTGAGAAAAACGATGCGTTAATATCTTAAGAGATTTTCATTCTTTTTGGTTTCAATGTTAAGCTAAAAATTTAAGCTTGTTCTCAATTTTTACTTTTAAGCAATTTGAATATGTTTTTAAGAGTGCTTCCTGAACCGCCTCCTTTTAGATATAAAAAGCATCATATTACCATGACCGAACTATTGCTAGAAATATCTGGTCTAAAGTTTTTCTGGCGAGGTTTTAGCTGTCAAAACAAAATAACAACAAAGTTTTTATAACTTATTTATTCTCTATTATAATTAGCTAATCGGTTATCTCTCAGTTGTGACGGCAACAGATGTTATCAAAGAGGACGACACAGAAGCTATTCTTAGTTGTACTGTTAGTGATGTAAAGAAGGAACTCACTTCGTCTTCTTGGTATGTGATGTCATATACAAATATTATAACAAATCAGTGATCCGAGTTGCCGCGCCGCTGGCTTCAAAGCCGGATTTTTCACGGCGGGCTGAAGTGCTGCCACCATCCATAAAAACAGCAAGCGCCGCCGCCGCTGACAAAAAGTCTCACGGCTCGGATCACTGTAGCAGATTTTATCACATGACTCTGTTATACTATCTAGAACATGAATTTCAATTCAAATATTATGAGCTTAGGCCCGGCCTGCATTTTTTGTTTTAGAAAATTGATTTAGCGATGATAACTAAAAACTATCGGTTCTTACTTCTGATCTGATATATCAGTTTTCAAACTTAAGTATACTATTTAAACTTATTTTGTAAATAAATCTCAGGACTCTTTCTGGATCGACAGGATGGAGCGGTGCTGCAGAAAACTTTTCGAATGATGGCCAGGCAATAAAAAATACTAAAACGAACGTAAGTAACGTTGTACTCAAATGAATATCAAGATGATGAATTTATTGTGAATTATTAAATCTTCGAGTATTTAAAAAACATCTGCTATAGTAGAAAGTATTCAAATCTGCAATAATTGAACAGATTCTTAATGATAAAAGCTAAAATCTCTCCAAATTAAAGATTTAGGATGATCAAGGATTCACCATAATTATTTCATCTCTTTAGATTGACTACAATACTGATGAGGGAACATGGCAATGTAACGTTATATATGATCTTGCTCCAAGTCCAACAGTCTCCAGGACCATTTTCTCCACTCTGAAACTTGACATTCCAGGTACGATTAATTGTACGAACAGTTGGTAAAAATGATGAATTGAAAAAAATCTAAATTGTTTTCCCTTACAGTTTCGATGATAACTAAAGTCACCATTATCACTTTTCAGCTTTCACTACGCCACTCAAAGACGAATTTGCTGTTGGCGGGGCTGCTGCTACCTTCACTTGTGTTGCCAGGACAACTACGAAAGCGGAAGATATTGCTCCAGCTTATTCATGGTAAGCGAATGATATTTAACCAATATAACACTATAAGCAAAGATCTCATCAATTGCCATAAGATATATGTATGAAGTTAAGACTGAACCTAAGCGCTGGAACGATGTGCTGAGCCCTCCTTCAATGATCCCAAATAAATCACAGTATCTTACATAAAACTTACATTTTCAACCCTGATTCCCATCTAGGTTTGTAAAAGGTGTTAAGGAAACAGAAACATCTGGAAGTTTAACAATTACCGACACTGACGACAAGGACAACACGGATGTCATTTGCAAGGCAACCTACTTAAAGGGAAACGTACCGTTCGAAATAAGTTCCACGTCAAAGTTGTATTCACAAGGTTTGTACAAAAAAGGCGAAATTCCTTTAATATATATGTAAGGCGAATCAATGAGATTTTTGTTGTAATCATGATTTCAAAAATACCATCTTACACAGAAGAACACTTATCATGAAGTGAAGTGAACAAATTCCAAGACTTCCTTAGTTTATTCGAGAGACCTATGAAAAATATATATAAATATAGATTTAGTAGTTAGATTGATAATTGCTTAGCATAAAGGTAACTTATTATGATTTAACAATTGACATAATATTATTAATTCAGAGATTGTTGTCACACCGGCCAGTGAAGTTTACGGAGTAGTCGGTGGGGAGCTAGCTTTAACCTGTACTTACAATTCTCAACACGCAACAGACGTGAATTCCAATTGGCAGAGCGGTCAGTCTAAAATTATATCCCTATTTTTTACAAGTTTAAGTCAAATCTACTTGAATTTTTTGTCATCCGTTGTAATTCGGAGAATTTGGATCTTCTGTGTATTCTACTTTAGTCTACCACCAACCAACATGTACCTTCAATAGTCTCTCCTCACGAGATGTGAATAAATAAATTCTAATATGAAACAACACTGGGTTGTTTTTATTTCGATCCATTAATCTAACCAATTACAGATTTCGAAGTTAAATGGTTACAAGGTAAAAGCTTTGCTAAATTCCCGCTGTCCAACAGCTGTTTTTCAATCACTGAAATTTATAATTTGCAAAGTGACGGCGTCCCAATCATTTTTTTGCGCGCCCCCTGACAATTACGATTGTAGAGTTCCACTGCAACGTTTGGAATTTGAGTATCAAATCGTAATATAAAATATCACATCATAAATGACCGCTGAACTATCGCCTCTCAATTCCATTTTAGATTATTTTAGATCTTCCTTATATTTAAGTATTATGATAACATTTTTGGAATAATAATGATCAGTTAAATAATCAGTTGCCACTCTATAAATTTGATCACAGAAGCTTTCTGACCCTTATTATAGTGGGCCTTAGAATCATAAACGCTAACAAAAGTGTTCATTATGTCACAAACTGTTATTATTTTGCTTTTGACTTTCAATTTGAGATTTTGTTGATCTTCTGGAGCTGAAATGGGATCATGGATTTTGAATCTAACATTCACATACGTTTCTCTTTTTGCATTATATCTAATATCTGATAAATAATTTTCAAATTATTATTACAGATGGTTTGGATATAGAAGATGACGAGTCGTACGACATTACTTCAACCCATGATGAAGGGTCCTTAACAACAATACTAACAATCCTAAAGTCTAAGTTTGAGAACATCGATTTGAAGGTTTTTTTTCATATTCTTCTGTTTATATCTAATTAATTAATATCACGTGATATGGTCGAAGAAAACATTCTACTTCTTTAAATAATGTGAACTTTAGCACAAAGTCCGCTATTTATACTCACAGTACAATTAATACACAGGATGATACATACACGTGTCAATTTACAAGTACAAAAAGTGGAACTAACGACAAAACTTTCACCATAAAAGACGTCTTCCGTGAGTTTATGAAGTCCAACTTAATTTCTTGACAGGTTCATTGAAAAAATAAAGATTACAAAAATTTATATGCAGTGAAAATGAAAATCATGATTAAAACTGTATAAATCAAACGTTTTTTCTCAGATATAACAACTCAACCTACAAAAGCACTCGACATAACCTCTGGTTATACCGCCAACTTCGACATAGATGTTGCTCCTCAGCAAGCTGCTGGATTTGGCGTGTAAGTGTTGCCAAGTTTAAATTGGCTGGTCAAAGAATTTGGAAAATATGTTGATGATATTTTTTCCTGGTTTTTAAGGTTATCGTGTGTATATTGATATTATTAGTAATATAATAGGTAGACTACTAAGCTATGCTAGAGTAGATTAAAAAAACAAGTTTTCTGATGAATATTATTTAGTCACCACTTGGCTCAAACTCACTTTGTTTTTATGGGTGAGGACTGATGAGGCACCGCACAATTCTTTTCGTACCTCAAATTAACTGATCGTCGATACTCTAGCAAACTGTATGGTTAACAAAGGTGACTTTGTATTACCGATAGTTTATGATCGATGTGACTCCTAAATAATTACTGTACAATGTTTTTTTCCAGAACCTACGAATGGTTCAAAAATGATGTCACAAACATTCCCGTGAACACGGACACTTCAACAAAGAGCTACGAAACTCCTGATGTCTTCTATGACACCGATCGTAGCAATGAATACAGGTTATTCGTAAATCTTGATTATTGCTAATTTTATATAATATAGAGGTGTCAACATGACCAATGTTGGGGTGTTCACCACAAGTAGCCACCGAAATAAATTATCTTCAATCCAATACAGCAATACCAAGAATATCATACTCTTCAACATATTTTTTGCTTATCAAACTCTTTCCATCTCAGCTGTAAGGTCACGTGGAGGTCTGATCACCAAACTCTAACGATCATGTCTGATAAGGCTGGTCTCGAAATAATAAGTATGAATCTTAATCATTGGAATTTTCGGGGATGAAGTGTTGCATTTATGAATTCAAGAAGTACAATCTTCGTTTCTTTTATGTTAAGGTTTTATTGTCCCATAAAGATGGGCATCTTTTTTGTGGGATGATTTAGAATTAAGTGTTCGCCGTTTCAATGAAGAAATAAAATGTATTCAAGAAATTGACAGCTGACGTTCGCTTCAGACTCATGTAAAGTTACTAACAATGCGAACGACAAAACGACTGTCAGTCCAGAAGACCCGTATATCAGGAACGGGGTAACTGTGACTACCACATGCGAAAAAGGGTATGTTTGCAAATGGTTATAACCATATTACTCTATATTATGGCTATCTCTGAATTTTAATATCAGTTAGTCAGTTAGAAATTTGGACTCTGGCATCTATGAGATATTTCCAATGAAGCGAGCAGAAATGATCAGAGGCTTGATACTTGTATTAGAATCACACCTCTAGAGCTCAAATCATGAAATTTGTCATAATTAATTTATGATAATAATTAATTATTTAATCAAATTAATATTTTACCAGATCCCTGTTACCAGTTAATGATTACACACAGTCGTGTAGTGTTCCGAACACTATTGACATCGTCAGTTGTGAAGGTCAGCCCCTCTTTTACACTCTTTTGAATTTACACTCATGTTCAGATCAGCGGCTCATTATCACAAATAGTTACAGATCTCAGTTTTTAAATTATAAATAAAAATCTGATTTAAGTTAATTATTATTAACTTATTTTGTTATGTAATTATTGGGTATATATTGATATACATTATTCCTTCAGACGGGTGCTATGTTGATACACCGAATAATGCCGACCTCTACCACGGAATTCTTGAATTCTTTGATGCTGAAAAATTGGATGAGACAGGATATTCTACCATACACGTTGACGAAACCGTGACAATTACTTGTCAAGACACGACCAACAAAAGTATTATTAACATTTGAATTAAAATTTAATTAATTAATTTTAGTCAATCTTAATTTATTCAACTCTACAAATTTATAAAAGCATATTATGCATGTCTATAATAATACTCACTGTTCAGTGTTCATCCCATTTTTATTTGAGATAATATTTACTATACCGTCTAGAATACGTGGTTACGTCCTCTACTGCTACCAACACTAAAACCTGCAAAGCTGGTCCAATAGATTTTGGAGGTGTCTGTAAATTAGGGTAAGATTAATAACCATTGTGTAGTTTCTTTAGAATTTAAATTTCCTGGACAATTTCTATTCGTATTATAGAATGTAAAGAAAGTATTTCATCATGAGAGTCTGTACACAGCTGCAATTTGCAAAATCATATTATATACGTATGTAAATTAAATTATGTTCCTAACTTTATTTTGAATTTGTATCATAGCTAGATCATCACTTTGACACAATTTAAAATATCATTTTCAGCTGCAAACTAACAAATAATGGCAATGCTGTCTTCACCGATAGTGACAATCTAATTGCACCTGGAGACTCTCAACCTTATACATGCAACACTAACACGGTTTGACATTAGAGTTTGATATGAAGTAAATTTCAAGTTCATTGTTTAAATACTTTATTCTCATTTGATCCCATTTCCACGCTAACGTAAGGTGAGGTACTCCTCGTGAAAATGAAACGACTACTGTACAGTGCACATCAAATTCTCAAATATATTAATTATCGGTAGCAACTACTGAGGTTAACTGCGACTAGTTATTCTTCCAGAGTTGGAATAACATGTTAAAGTCGTTTCAATAACAAAATAAAGTCGTTTCAATAACAAAATAAAGTCGTTTCAATAACAAAATAAAGTCGTTTCAATAACAAAATAAAGTCGTTTCAATAACAAAATAAAGACACAGTAGAAGTTTTAGTCGGGGGTGTCTAACAATCACAATTACATTTCCACAGCTTACTAAAGAAGGAAAAAACACAGCAACGTCCAGTCAGTGTAAAGTAGAGGACAATACTGTGAACAATCCTGAGATTCAGCTGAACGAATGTTATGGTAAGCTACATTTAAGATGAAATTCCTTAATTCCTATTGTGAAACTCAACTTATACATGTACCTATAGTGACTATACCTACTACATCATAAAACAATACAAACTATTGTTGCCTTTAAAGCTAAGTGAACACAAACCACGAAATTGGGATTTCGGATTGTATAATGTGTATCAAGATAACAGATTATACATAACTACAAATATCTAACCGTTTCTGATCCCAGCTCCAACGTTTTCGGATCCAGATGTCGAGAAAGGCACCTCCTGGGTAATCCTGAAAATGAATCAGCCTGTCTCGGTAGGTGGTTCCAGACCTTCAGTTGATAAATATGAATGTGTTGTGACAGAGGGGAATGCTGAGAAAGGAAGGGATGACACTGATGGGACAAACTCAGAGGTATTGATAATTGATGCTTTAGCTGATAATTGTGGCGGATTAGCTTACAAATATTATTGATTATTCCTCCTCCACCTGTATATTTTCACGCAAATGTTTTATACATTTTTTTCACCTTAACTTAACCACCTAGATTTTCACCTCAGACAGAAACGTTCAACTCACAAATCACCGTTCATTTCAAATAAGTGGAATGTTGAGAAGAAAAGCTAGGTATTCTAATCATGTGAGCGTTTTACCACCACACCACTGTTGGCACTCACCACCAAGCTGACAGTCCCTCTCAAGCTGCACATTAGGTTACTGGTGCTGAGAACTGATGGCATAGACACTAGCAAATATACTGCAATACTCGGTATACGGTATATGGTACTAATTAACTACATAGTTATCGCTATTTCTAATTTTATTGCAATTTATCTCATCTTTTAATCATTTCACAAAATGGTTATTGACATTGTCAACATAGTATTATGTCTACATCGGTTACTATCCGATATAGGAGCAAGGATAGAGTTCTCGGTATAATTTCCCGCTCAAAAATGTCCTCACAAAATAACTGTTTCACCTAAATCCGACCCATAAGAGCAATTCGCAATTACCATAAATAGCAATTAGCAGTTTTAATTATAACTGCTAATTGCTATTTATGCTATTTTTGTTTGAAGTAAATAGTTTTTAACACACAAACTAAACACGCTGTGTACCACTCATTAAACACTTTTCAGTGCGTAATTAACGGTCTGCTTAGCGGAACAACGTACACGTACTCTGTAAAGATTACCTTTGTTGGGGGTGCAGAATGGAACTCTGTAAAGGAATACGACTTTACGACACTTGAAGCACCTGAACCAGATGTGGATTCGAAAACGATCAAACTTGACATTCCAAAGGTGGAAAATTCTGAAGAGTGAGTTATGATTTCTTTACTTGCTTGCGAGTGGACAGTTGATAAATTGGATTGATGTAATCGAGAAATTAGAAATTGAAAATAATTTCCCTATGCTCGTGTCATCCTGTTCTTTCAGTGCTTTTCTATTTAAAAATAACTTGAATTTTTTTTTAAACCTCGATATAGAACAGTCAGAGAAATAGGATATTAGATTCTAAGGATCTCTAAACGGACCCCGGCCAGTTGTTTTTAAATAATTATTGATAAATTGTTTGATTTCAGTACGTACAAAATCGTTGCGGTATGGTTCAAAACACCCACGGAACAAACGGCCAACCTTAAAGTAATCAGTCAAGGAAAAAGACGGAAGCGGAGTACTGCTACTTATGACATCAACATTATTTACGAAAGTTTCAAATTGCTACAGGAAAAAGGTCGGCTTTTTAAAACGTATACTCGATATTAACTCTATTGAGCTACTCTGATTTCTTTCTACTCTGACGTTATGTACAGAGATACAAAATTCTCGAAATTACCTTCTAAATTGACTCAGAACCAACAAGTCTAAAGGGAGCATTCTACGCCAAAAAAAATGTAGATATTGAAAAATCAGATGTGGATCCTTCTTCCCTTCCGCTTCCCGCTGGAGAAACGGTTGTGCTGGCTGCTTACGTTTGTGAGGTATAAGATGGTTTTAGATTATAGAATACCATATATATATAAACATAAATTCAAGAACAAAGAAACCGCTACATTGACACAGCTAGCAATAAGTTATAACCTGAATTAACTCTCAAAATGATAAAGTTGAACATCATTGAAACCTCATAGCAGGTAACGTAAAATAAATATGTTTCAGAAAGATACCGGTACATGTTATGTTGGAACTGGTAGTTCGTACACGTCCCCTGATGACAACACAGTGAGTCTGAAGCTGTGTAGTTTATATTTTGGAGATTACGTATTTTTTGATCAAATGAATTACATTAGACTGAGAGAAAGTAAAATGTGGTTTCGTTTTAGTTTCGCTCGTAAGACTTTGTTTGTTGATTAAAAGTCGTTCGCTCGCTTTGAACTTTTGAAGTTCCAACTGCACTCACATTCCAGAGTTCTTAAAGTTAAAATAACCAAATATATCACTCTCAGGTTGCTATAGTAATTGGAGTAGTGGTCGGTTTTCTCGTTTTTGGTCTCCTCGCTGGACTGCTACTGTTGTACAAGAGGTTTGTTGTCTTATTACAAATATTATCTTTGTTTGTAAAATTGATATGGAATTGCATGATCTATGTCTGGTATGTCAGCAAAGTAGTGCTCTTTACTGTATAGTAAACAATAAGTGTTTTTTAAAGGCATGGGTGCCGCCATTCAGAAATTAGCGTCTCGCAGAAAAAAATTTTTAAGTCTCGGACTCCGGTCTCGTTGATTAAATAAATATTTAAAATTTTGGTAGATTTTCAAAAAAATAAATTGTGCCTGGTGCTAATCACAAAAGAATGTTAACCTAATATAATGATTCACAAATTTCACTTTTTCAAATCAATTTCCTGTTCGGTCGCTTATCGGAGCACCAAACTTTTACGGCGGCACCCATGTCTGAATCCATTAAATTCCGAATAACCTTGAAATTAGAACTTAAAAAGCGATATATCAAATAAAATTGCTGCAAAACCACCAATTTGATTTGCTCCAGGCGCCCGGAATTGTTTGCGAAACGAAGCAAACCCGATACAGATCATGCCGTATTTGTTAACCCATCAAGTAACGCACAACTTGAGGAAGGAAAGTAAGTTTGCCAGTTTTTCATAGTTCAACTAATCGTGTGATCAAACATGAACATGAATAAAAATCATTGCTGAATTTTTTCATTATTTTCAACAAAAAATTTTGATTCAGTTTACATCTGAAAAATGTACAGATAGTTATAAAAGAGAAAGTTAAATTTATTGTAATCATTTGACATACTATTTGATCCCTGATTCTATTTCCGCTGTTAAATTCAATGTTGTCATAGATCAGGACCCGTAAGACCCCCCAACCGAACATCAATGTAAGTTCCACCGTGAGCTGAATCGTTAATTATGTAGCCATCTTTGTCACATGCTGGTCACTTGGTCACGTGCTGGCCACTGGAGCCGCTGTGTCTGTCTATGTAGCACTAGAGGGTTTGGTATTTGTTTTTATCTTAATATGGTAGAATTGAGTTGGATAGACTAATTAACGTTAGAGACTAATTAACGATAGAGACTAATTAACGTGGGGTTCGCTAGCGTTCAGCTGTACAGATATTGTGAGCCTAAAACTTGATGTTATAGAACTATTCAGAGTGGCCGTATTGCTCGGTCCTATTTGTCACATTTAATGGAAATTTCGGAATTGTGGCAGTTTCTTCTTCATCGGTTTCATAGATTAATTAACAGTTACCCTGTCTCTCTCTCAAATAAGTGACATGTTTCTGACCTGTTTCGTTCTCCAACTTTCAGATATCCCCATGTGAGAAGTAACGAAGAAAATGCCGTCCGTTTACCACCCGACGCTCAGTAAGTCACGTGACCGTATCCGTTACGAGACCACGTGACACATAATGGAGGGTTCACTGTTCACATATTACGTTAGCATGCTAGGAGGGGAGGGGCGGTGCAAAATTGGCCGAAATGTTGACGCTAATATGTCATTTTTACACATGAATCAGTTTGAAAACTTGCTGAAGAAAGAGGCGGAAGGGAGGGGGACGGGGTCTAAAAAGGCAATTTTTTAATGACGTAATATGTTAACGGTCCCAAAGGTCGTGCTGTTTCGTGATTCACTGAACGTGTTAGTGTTTTTGTCACCGTGGCAATACAAATTCGTTACTGATTATCTTTATTTTTTGTTGTTCCCATACAGTTGTTTTTTTTTAGTCGATTGTTCATTGGTTTCTGTACGTCATGATTAAGATACGATTTTATGTGTCATTTTCTTCGACATTCCTTTCATCGAAAGTTCAGTGCTTCGTTATGTTCATGGGAAAATAACTTTTTGCTTGTGTAGTTTAACACTTGTCTGATTTCTCGTACAAATATTTTGTACAAATTTCGTGGCCCTCCAAACCTGAATTCGAACATTGTGCTATATATAATAATATCAAGTTATTGATTAGTAAAAAATCACAATATCTACATATCATATTCACTCAACGACCGTATTATTACCAAACCACGACATTTTCAGTGAAATGCCGGATATTGAGAGGAGGATCCCCGACCCGATACACGTGGCAGACTTCCTTAGCAAGTACAGGAGACTCATGCAGGTTAGTAGCGCCGTAAACTTGGGGCTATAAATAGCATTAGCTTGGAGATGGAGCGCTTGTTAACACATACTGGCAGTATTTCAATGACAATCTGACAATCTGACAATCTGGCGTTATTGTGTATGATGTACACTCTCGTTCCATCTGTCATGAGAATGAATGAGATTATTACTCCTCTGTTCAGATCATTACACACTACACACTCTACTCATGGAGTATTTTATACTAACCTGTTCACTATTTTAATTTGACAGTGTCATTCTATATAATATATCATGTTATGTAATCTACAGTATTCATGTGATGCGATCCTCTTTTTTTAATGAGGGATAAAATTTGCGATTTATTCTTTGATATTTTTCATTCTTTCTTTACATGGCTCTACTAGTGCAGTGAGTAAAATGATGTGTGCAACGCACATTCCGTAGCTACATAAATTATCATAGACCCAAAAGTCAAAAGTCAAAAACCTGTTCCTTATACTTATAGTTATCTTTAAGATAAAATAAAATAAATATTCGACAAAATAAAACGTGACCAGCTCTCCGGTCTCGGGCCTTACTGATTAATACGAGTTTGTAGACCACCGTTAACTTAATTCCGTTAATAAAAGTGAGAGAATGTAGAATTTGTGAACAAGGCTTTGTAAAAGGTATCATAGTTAAACACGAGGTGGAATGTATGATAATGTGTGATATTGTGTTAGCTATTATCAGTAGTAGTAGCTATTAATTAAAGTAGCTATTATCAGAAGTTATATATTATAGTGTGTGTATGAATACACAGATAATTACTGAACTTGGTGTAATTTCACAGGACACTGAATACTTGTTGGATCGAGAGTACGATGAGATAAAGACTGAAGTACCTCCTACCAGTTTCTCCTACAGACACGCTAAAATACCTGACAACAAGATTAAGAACAGATTCGTTGATATCCTCCCCTGTAAGCTTCTCTGTTTCTCTAGCTGTCTGTTTGTCTGTCCGTCGTATGCTAAATTTGTATTTATTTTGCGTTTGATTTTGTTTAAAAATGAATCAGTGATGTCTCACCCTATAACTTGAATATGGGAATCAAATTTATGGAAAAGCAGATGAATGACAATTTATGAAGAGTCACCAACCATTTCATTATAATTTGTGATTAGATTATATACCGGGTGATTCAAAAGAATGTTGGGATTTTAAATATTTATACTTTTTTTATACATAAAATATAGAAATTAAAACCTCTCGATGTATTTCATGAACATTCGTCAGTGATAATTTATAATACATTATAACCTGTGTCCTTTTTATAAACGGTTGTTATTTCAGATGATGAGACCCGAGTGAAACTAGTGGCCACTCCAGATCACCCATCAGACTACATAAACGCCTGTTTTGTAACGGTATGTAAACACGTGATAAACACGTGGTTACACGTGGTTACACGTGGTTAACAAGTGGTAATACGTGGTAAACACGTGGTAAACACGTGGTAACACGTGGTTACACGTGGTTAACAAGTGGTAACACGTGGTAACACGTGGTAACACGTGGTAACACGTGGTAACACGTGGTGAACAAGTGGTGAACAAGTGGTAACACGTGGTAAACAAGTGGTATCACGTGGTAAACACGTGGTTAACAAGTGGTAACACGTGGTAACACGTGGTAAGCAAGTGGTAACACGTGGTAACACGTGGTAACACGTGGTAACACGTGGTAAACAAGTGGTAAACACGTGGTAAACAAGTGGTAACACGTGTTACCTTACTGAAGTACTGAATTAGCTTACTGATTTTGAGATCCAAAACTTCTTTTTTATACGACGTTTCAAATCTCATTCTACACAATAAACCTCGAATGATGATTTTTACTAATGAGCAAAAGCTACAAAATGTCTTGAAACTTGCCCAATTTTAGAACATGACGAATGATGTGGAGTTTATAGCTGCTCAAGGACCCAAGGAGGAGACTATGGCAGATTTCTGGCAGATGGTTTGGGAAAACAGAAGTCTTTCCATCGTTATGGTGACCAATCTCGTTGAAAAAGGTATAAGCGTTATTTTATCCAGCACATTTGACTTCTGGAACGAGTGTCACATGCTTATGTATTATTCGAGTGTTTCAAGATATAAACGTATCATTTTACAATCAGTACCATGATGTCAACCTGAAAAGCAGTAAACTTCTGCTTTTTCGTCTCTAATTTAAGACTCGGTAAGTCACGTGACTGATTTACCCAGGACGTAAGAAGTGTGCCCAGTACTGGAGCGATGAGGGCTCCATGCAGTACGGGAACGTGCGTATTACTGTTGAAGGCATCCTGACCTTCCCTGATTACTGTATCAGGACACTTATTGTGGAAAAGGTAAGTTACAAGTTCGTTGGTCAATAGTCTATTATTCGTGAAGTCAAGTTTGATGCTACAAACTAGCGATAAGAAACTCTCTCAATAGCACCGGTACCTTACTCTGAAACACTGAACTAAATTTCCAAAACATTGCGAACTAAAGTAACCTAGTAACTAACCCAGGGAGCTGAAAAGAGATGTGTTTATCACTTCCATTATCTGATATGGCCTGATCACGGTGCTCCACCTACTACCTCTCTTATTGACTTCTGTAGGAGGTGCTTCTCTGAGATGGTGGACGGTCCTGTGGTGGTGCGTTATTTAATTATTTCTATTATTTCAAAGATTACTTCATTGTATTTTTCATTATTTACCGACTGCAGAACTTTGATTTGATTGTTTAATTGACTGTAAAGTTAAGTTATATTTCATATTTGTGTGAACAGTAACTTAATGTTCCCGGTTATTACAGGTACACTGCAGTGCTGGTGTAGGTCGAACTGGAACCCTGATGGCTCTCCACCTTCAAATGAGGATGTTATCTGATGATCAGAGAGTTGACCTGTTTGGTATCGTCTGTAGGCTCAGACGGTGCAGAAAACTCATGGTCCAAACTTCTGTGAGTTCTTGTTCATTTATTTTTTAAGTTTTGGGATCTGGGCTCTGTTTTGGTTATCAATTGTAAAATAACTTTGGAGATGAGGTATTACACACTACACACTTTATTATGTACATTGTATTATGTATAGTAGCAATCCACATTGGATCGTATTATTTAAGTTACATGTATTCGATCAAGACAGTTATGCTGGTAAAAATGATGGTTTGGATTATATTTCTCAATTTAATAACTCAACAACTGACACAATCCTTGTGATGCAGGTGCAATACAAGTTCCTGTACCAAGCTGTCAGAGAAATGATCATATGTGACGATACCTTCATCGCTCTCCGCGAATTTAACTCGGTAAAGTTTCACATAATAAATTATTATTATACAGACTAACCTCCAAGCACACCAGAGAGGGAAAATAGCTCGGTGTTATATAATATAATATGCATATGGGGGCGATACTTAGACGTGTTTACGTTTGATACCATCCTGTTGGAGAATGTAACACGTTGGAGAATGTTACTTAAATAGCCACAAATTGTGGTTTGACTCCAGTATTATTATATATCGCTCGGTTAAACACCGTAAATGGTGGACACACATTCGAGATCAGTTGAGATTGTACAGTGATGTGACTATTTTGGCGTTTTGATCGTGGTGTTCAGATTATCACAAAATAAGGAGATTTTAACAGTGCAGATTTCCTCCTTGTTGTTGAGATTTTGACTTTTGAAAGTTACTGAATTTTCCACCCCACATTGAAGCAAGGGTAGTGAATAGTGATATTTCCACTCAAAAGTGCCTCTCAAAAGGCTTTCGACTTATTATTCGCATAATTACAGAAATAATCGGACAGTAAAATAAGAATAGGGAAGTAAAAATGCAAATAATCCCATCTTTTGTCTCTCACTTTCCCCGTGGAATGTCTGGGACTATCTCATTCTGACATTGAGTAGTAGTGGAGAAGTACACTTGATAAAAACTCACATCACATTTCCACCTATGTAAGTATGTAATGTTCCCTTCTCCGGACGGTTTTACATTACATACACTGGCTCAGAAAACTGATATTTTCCAGTTTTCGCTCAAAATATGCGGTTGAGTAGAACTAGATGGGTGTTGTTTCTGTGCTTCTTCAACAGAGGAGATTGTGGGACGTGTTGAGTCAAATATACACTCATAGTACTACTAGTATTGAGTAGGAAGTTGTTACTAGCTGGAATATTCATATTGTGAGAAAACCTGTGATTTAGGGAAGTATTTGGTCTCCATGTGAAGGAGGAGGCGGTGAGACTGGGGTAAAGGAAGTTGTTATCTGACCCTGAGATGGTATTTTTAAAGGGTTGCATACTCTCGACTAGTAGCGGTTATTTTCCTGTAGCTAACCTGAGATATTGTGCTGGTTAAAGGATTGTGTTCCACAGAGCAAATACAAATTTGAACATCAAAACAATCAAAAGTAAAACTAAGAAACGTGTTCAATTGCAGTATACTGTACTGTTCACTTTTTAAATAATGCCGTAAAACTTTAAACCTGACTATTTTCAGGAGCTTGCCCGTCTAACAACACCACAATCCGGTAACCAGTACATGACGCTACTGGACGACCAGTTCAAAAGACTGGAAGAGTACTGTACCATACACATCACCCACGATAAGAACGAGTTCAAGACTAATATTGGCACTGCCGGGGTTAATCATAGCAAGAACAGATTCAGTAACGTACTACCTTGTGAGTTGTTGACATTTTTGTTATATTTAATGTCAGTAGTTTTAAGTTTCTGTGACTAGGTTAAGTAACTCCGGTAAGTCATTTCTGATTTAACTTTTCATAATTGAACTTATCATGAGGTGGTCAATAGGTATTTCTGCCTTCTAATCAATTAGTGTTAAACTCCCTGAACTTCAGTCGATGTTAACCGAGTAAAACTGCGGGTCACAACCGGAGAAGCAGGAAGTGACTACATAAACGCCTCCTATGTTCACGTAAGTATTGATTTCAACTTATTATAGTTTAATAAATTGTAACTACGTGTCAATACTATCATGATCGCTTATTCAAGCACTGAAGCAGTGAGACTGTTCATTGTCGTAAGGGAATATTTGTGATATCTGCAGAGCTGTCACAAGAATTATTTATCAAATTAAGTTATTTATTAAGTTAATTAAGTTATTTACATCTACAGAGCTATCACGAGCGAGATTCGTTTATAGCGACACAAGGTCCCAAACAGAATACTATCGGGGACTTCTGGAGGATGATATTCGAAAAGGAAGTGTCCACCATCGTTATGCTAACTCCTCTAGTTGATAGAGGCAGGGTGAGTTGCACTTCTTACTGTTACATCATAGAACATTTCAGCAACCAAATGCTAGTTCCCGAATGAGAACTTACAACTTGAAAGTTTTCTGGAGAAATGTTCATTATACTTTATGAGATAGGAACTGAAACTTCCATTTCCAAAAATCACTGAAAAGTCTTATTCCTCGCGCAAATAGTGAAGTGTGATTGGTTTGTAACTAAGTCCTGCCCCGCTGCCCGTGCTGTAACTCGAAGTAACCTCCATGTTGTCGCTTGGTGCCAAAACATTCAACTCTAGATAAATCTTATCGCCCAGAATTTTCGTATTCTCAGCGTCGTGTAATTGAATCATGCTTTACAGCTTTACGGTAGGTCAGCACGGGGTCACCTGTTGTAACCTGAGGACATGTTAAGTTCTTAAAAACAGTGAGATTCCCCCTTTGTTGTTAAGGTCGAGATTTCGACTTTTGAAAGTTATTGAATTTGTCCACCTCACATGGAGGCGAGGGTAGTGATATCGCCACTCAAAAGTGCCGGCTTTCGACTTATTACAGAATATTCGATGTGTGGTAACTTTTCAAAGATGATGATGTAATGCACTTGTTACCCGGTAGCTTTTTTTTATCAATGTTGAAAAATAGGAGCAATTTGGAAAAACGGTTATCATCAATCTGGAAAATTGCAGAAAATCATAGTAGACAGTATTTATAAACCAGCACCCTGAACACGAGATTTACAAACTTTTCTAACTTTAGTGAAATATGATAACATCTACATACTTGAATTATGAATGTGGCATTCACGACATAACAGTGAAGTGGGAGTAAAATGGATCTGAGATTATGTGAAAGTGAAAGTGATCCGAATGAAAGTGAAAGTGAAAGTTAACCCCACTTCCTGTCCCAGGAGAGGTGCACGATGTACTGGCCACGCGACAAGGAGGATCCAATCTGCGTGGACAACATCACAGTCTACCTGCTGAACGTAGCTAATCCTACCGCTGAATACACTGTCAGAACCTTCAGTATTTCTATCAAGAACAGAGAGGTTTGTACACTGAATACATAGTTTGCTCGGCATTATAATTTGCTGTGTTATTGTGATTTCAACTTACAATCGATGGACGGATAGTAATATAACTAAAAATATAACTGGATGTTTCCTGGTTTGTCCATTGAGAATAATATTAAACTAAAATTAAATTACCACTTTAAAAATTAAAAGTGAGCATGCCAGAAGTATGATATCGTACAAGTTCTAGTGTCTTCATTTTAGGTTGAGATAATATTATCTCTGCTTAACCACATATTATCACATGCCGCTAAATTAAAAGTTAGGAAGATACTAATGTTAAGTTGTTTTAAGTTACTTAAAATATGTCAATAAAACTATTAAAATCATTGAATTGTAAGTGGTCTGATAAGAAAAAGATAAGAAACTTCATTACTATCTATAATGCAATTTTTTAATTTTTTAATTTCTCAAACTCAGATTTGAAACCGAATTCATTCTAGGCCTAAGTAACTAAAAAGTGACTAGTAAAAGAAACTAAATATTTAAAATAAACTAGGCGGCAACTTAACATTGCCTCCCCCACCCCCAACTAAACATTGCCTCCACCCACCCCCAACTTAACATTGCCTCCCCCCACCCCCAACTAAACATTGCCTCCCCCACCCCCAACTTAACATTGCCTCCCCCCACCCCCAACTAAACATTGCCTCCCCCACCCCCAACTTAACATTGCCTCCCCCCACCCCCAACTAAACATTGCCTCCTCCCCACCCCCAACTAAACATTGAATCCTCCCCACCCCCAACTAAACATTGCCTCCTCCCGACCCCCAACTAAACCTTGCCTCCTCCCACCCCCAACTAAACATTGCCCACCCCCCCCCCACCCCCAACTAAACATTGCCTCCTCCCCACCTCCAACTAAACATTGCCTCCTCCCCACCCCCAACTAAACCTTGCCTCCTCCCACCCCCAACTAAACATTGCCTCCCCCACCCCCAACTAAACATTGCCTCCCCCACCCCCAACTTAACATTGCCTCCCCCCACCCCAACTAAACATTGCCTCCTCCCCACCCCCAACTAAACATTGAATCCTCCCCACCCCCAACTAAACATTGCCTCCTCCCAACCCCCAACTAAACCTTGCCTCCTCCCCACCCCCAACTGTACATTGCCTCCTCCCCACCCCCAACTCAACATTGCCTCCCCCCACAACCAACTAAACCTTGCCTCCTCCCCACCCCCAACTAAACCTTGCCTCCCCCACCCCCAACTAAACAATGCCTCCTCCCCACCCCCAACTAAACCTTGCCTCCCCCACCCCCAACTAAACATTGCCTCCTCCCTGCAGGATGAGACGACACGCCAGATAAAGCAGTACCACTACTATTCCTGGACCAACTCAGAGAGTCCCTCATCCGGGAAACCCCTTATAAGGATGATAGATCAGGTATTATGACTTAACCTTGATAACAACAACAAGACATCAGCTAAACATAAATCTGGGGTATAGATAGACCTTACCTCTTTTTTACTGATCTTACTGACTATTTGTTGACTTTGCCTCGTACGACCTGGATCGTTGTTTGAGATACTGCCGTTATCTTATAACCTGGGGTATTGTTACAATACTCGATATTCAGAGGCTGACGACTATTTTCTATACCGTTTATTATATTTTTATCTGAACTATTGATACTACTGCACTGTAGTTGTTACTCATAATTCACGCACTATACATTATACAATGCTGTATGTGTGTATCGTCTATCAATGGACTGGAGATTTACATAGCTTTAGATACACGCAATACACGCAATACACGCAATACACATTGTGAACACCAGTGTTATCTTTGGTAAACAAAAGTGCACGATAAACAATGTTATTACAAGATATTGTACTTGTTATACAAACAACCATCAAAAAAGGGGCGGCAACATCTATTAATTGTAATCATCACCCTCACTGTATTTAATCTGCATCTTCATCAACTCAAAGATAATAACAAATATCAGTCCGAAAGTGTTCCATTTTTTTAATAATCTTGCACGTGATCGCGATTTACCAACCACTTTCCACCAATAACCAATCATAAATCCAAATCCCTGTCGAGTGTACAAATAAATCTGGATCACCCCCTAAACCAACTTTTAGCTAATCATTTCATGAACTCATCCTCTGCAGATGAAGAACCAGAAAAAGAACGGGCCGGTAGTGGTCCACTGCAGTGCAGGTATTGGTCGAACTGCAGTCTTTATTGCTGTACACAACTGCATAGAGCAGCTGCGACAGGATGAGATGATTGATTTGTTCACTGTAAGTGATTTCTTGGTATTTTCTAACTCCTGTTTAACTTACGTTTCTAAGGAACTGATGGCAGCATCCACCATCATGACTATTGTATTATCAATCATTTGTATTCAATACAGCAACTTATGACTCAGTTATGCAGCAATTTACTAATTAAGTAATTACTGTGTTGAAATGGGCTAATAGTTATCCTTTACAGATAGTCCTACGGCTGCGGTTACAAAGGAATGGAATGATCCAGTCAATGGATCAGTATGCGTTCTGTTACCGTGTCATGGCCGAAGTGTGCTCCATGTTTGATGACTATGTGAACACTCAAGGATTACAAGGCAGATAAAATTATGTCCTATAGTTAAGAGTGTTTTAGATATTCGACAGATCTAGAGGGTAGAAGCTTGTTTAATATTACAGTGCTTATTTGTGTTGGCTTGATAGTGTACGGGAATGTTGCAATAAATCGCTTTTGAATGACTGATAAATTGTAAAGATAACTGACCACGAGTATTTACATTATGTAATATGCGTAGTCATATTATCACATTTTTATGTGTCAGATACATTACTTTTTTCATGAGCTATTCCAGTAAATAGTGACTACTGACTTTAGATTGATTCATTATCCATTACCCATATAATCGATTTATAATGACGTTATGGAACATCTTTGAACACAACGATTTAATTTTCTTTTATACTTATTATTTTCTTGTAAATAATACCTCTAACTTAAAAATAACACCGCTAAGTATAATGTGATCAAGTAAGGCTTTAGTTCGTTTTTCGTGATTGGAATGAGAACTTTCTGACTTCAGTTAATTAAATTCTGACAACAGTTTATTTTTATACATTCATTTTCAATTTTTACGTGATTGTTTTTAATTATGTGTAATCATTGTAGATTAATAAGTTTTTTACTCATAATAATACAGAATATTTTAATGATTTCAGAATTGGAAATTTGCTTTCAGATAATCAGATATTTAGGTTTGAGTTTGACAGGAACAGAATCTGTAACTACTAGTTTAATTTCCGTAAATGTTGTTCAGATCCGCATATTATTGAAAATACTACTGCATGTTAATATGACCATTGTTTTTGCGCAAATGATAATGTTTCTAGTTTCATTTCGTTAGTGTAACGACCAACAACTTGAGGATCGGCCACTTCACTTTAACCAGTAGTGTAAAGCACTAGACATTCTTTACACTCATAGTCATTTACCACTGATACTACAGTAAGAGCGTTTAGTGACCGTGTTGTTAGCATTCCATCACATTCCAATGACGTCATGTTATTGAGAAATAATAATGTAAACTCGAGTTGAGACGATACGCCGTGTAGGAAGTAAAAGTAGAGGCGAATTTAATGAACATCTATCTTGCGCTCAACATTGCTCTTCTCAGTTCCCTCGTTAATGAATAGAATGCTTATTTAAACATTCGTAAGGACTTATTGTTTTAACTGTTTTGTCATTATACATTGTTCACGCTCCAATTCCACTAATTATTGAATTGGCCGTTGACGTAGTTCAATGTTACATTAGAGGTGCAAGTTCTGAACTGCACACGTTTTTTAGACTCAATGTAACGCGCGGCACTGTAGATTTTAATGAGCTTTGCGCTCAAGTTAGACGCGCGCGCGCAGCGCAGCTAGTACGCAGCATGCAAAATAAATTAAAACTTGTTCCTAGCGAGCGGCCAATATCTTTACCTATCTTATATGTTTACTGTCGAACTGGTTCATGGTTTTACATTCTACTGCTCACGTAAAATTGAAATGAAGACATGTCACATGACAGAAAAATTTACACTCTTATTTCTTGATTTGAAACAAAAAATCTAAAATGGTTTAACGATCCATTTTGGATCTGATCTCTCTATTTCAAAAAACTAAAAAGGTGGGTCTAAAATGGTTTAACGCTGGTGACCTAGTGAAAGTGCTGGTGACGATGAGAAAGACCATAAACCAGGGATTCCTTCGGGAGCATGTAAGATTATATCCAAAGTTTGTTCGCCAATGGGGTGTGTCTGGGTGTCAAAGATCTTCAAGGTGGGTGCTACTTGTGATGAACTCTAGAAGGATGGGATGGTAATACTCGGTCTGGCCGTCTGGAAGCCCATAGAATTCCAGTTCAGAAACCGAGTAAGGAGGTGCGGCTACTGATGAGAAGCCTCCTTAAAGTTTATTTGGGTTAGAAACGACATCTGGGTCCCTACCCTCGCACAAGATTATTCTCAATTTTCTTGTTGTGTCCACAACTATACCGTTGATCAGAGTCACATCTGATGACTTCAGTGAAAGGGCTGATGACTTCAGTGAAAGAGCTGGTGACCTAGTGAAAGTGCTGGTGACGATGAGAAAGACCATAAACCAGGGATTCCTTCGGGAGCATGTAAGATTATATCCAAAGTTTGTTCGCCAATGGGGTGTGTCTGGGTGTCAAAGATCTTCAAGGTGGGTGCTACTTGTGATGAACTCTAGAAGGATGGGATGGTAATACTCGGTCTGGCCGTCTGGAAGCCCATAGAATTCCAGTTCAGAAACCGAGTAAGGAGGTGCGGCTACTGATGAGAAGCCTCCTTAAAGTTTATTTGGGTTAGAAACGACATCTGGGTCCCTACCCTCGCACAAGATTATTCTCAATTTTCTTGTTGTGTCCACAACTATACCGTTGATCAGAGTCACATCTGATGACTTCAGTGAAAGGGCTGATGACTTCAGTGAAAGAGCTGGTGACCTAGTGAAAGTGCTGGTGACGATGAGAAAGACCATAAACCAGGGATTCCTTCGGGAGCATGTAAGATTATATCCAAAGTTTGTTCGCCAATGGGGTGTGTCTGGGTGTCAAAGATCTTCAAGGTGGGTGCTACTTGTGATGAACTCTAGAAGGATGGGATGGTAATACTCGGTCTGGCCGTCTGGAAGCCCATAGAATTCCAGTTCAGAAACCGAGTAAGGAGGTGCGGCTACTGATGAGAAGCCTCCTTAAAGTTTATTTGGGTTAGAAACGACATCTGGGTCCCTACCCTCGCACAAGATTATTCTCAATTTTCTTGTTGTGTCCACAACTATACCGTTGATCAGAGTCACATCTGATGACTTCAGTGAAAGGGCTGATGACTTCAGTGAAAGAGCTTGTGACCTAGTGAAAGTGCTGGTGACGATGAGAAAGACCATAAACCAGGGATTCCTTCGGGAGCATGTAAGATTATATCCAAAGTTTGTTCGCCAATGGGGTGTGTCTGGGTGTCAAAGATCTTCAAGGTGGGTGCTACTTGTGATGAACTCTAGAAGGATGGGATGGTAATACTCGGTCTGGCCGTCTGGAAGCCCATAGAATTCCAGTTCAGAAACCGAGTAAGGAGGTGCGGCTACTGATGAGAAGCCTCCTTAAAGTTTATTTGGGTTAGAAACGACATCTGGGTCCCTACCCTCGCACAAGATTATTCTCAATTTTCTTGTTGTGTCCACAACTATTTCAAAAAACTAAAAAGGTGGGTCTCTTATTATTGATTATAGTTTTATCGAAGTTTTGTTGTTCCAATGGTTTGATTAAATAAGCCCATAGTCCATACTGAACAGTTGACTGTACTCCAAATGTATCGCTGCTCGTCGATAAGTTTATTCAATGGACTTCCAAATGTACAGAAGTAATGTAGGACTCCTCGATCATCACGTTCCTAAATTTCTAACCGCTCTAAAATCTGCATGTGGGTACCGCTCTAGAGTCCTCATAGTATGGGTCCTGTAAGGGAGTTCCGCTCTAGAGTCCTACCCTGGCGATTTGACTCCGCTCTAGGGTCCTACTTCCGACCAAGTCCGCTCTACAGCTACACTCTACAGTCCTCCGCTCTGCCTCTAGAGTCCCCGCTCTGCCTCTAGAGTCCCCCGCTTTAGAGTCTAGAGTCCTGCTCCCGTACAGAATTAATATTAAACGCTCGTAATTTGATCATGAATAAAAACTGTATAGATGATTGAACAGTTTCAAGTTTGCATACAGAAAATTAACAGACCCAAAACAGCAATGTATAATCCACGAAATTCGTAAATAATATTCATAAATGATAAATTTCATCTGGGGTATTTTCACTTTTCAGGCTCAAAATATATTTTCCAACCGTGAAAATTATGGTTTCTTCGCCTAAGTCTAATGATATTTATGTACTATCCGGATGTAATAGGGACATTGCATTGTTAATGAGTCGCATGATCATTATACTTCTGTTGAAACTTTCTAGTAATTCCGTGTATAAATTAATTGTGACAAGGGAAAATGCTCATTTCAGGTAAACAAAGTTTTCAAACTATTTTCACAACTACAACTAAATACATTTATTTACATTAATATGATGTAGTGATATTTCCTTTACCTGGGTCCTGACTCCTGGAAAGATTTTCCCATGTCGCAACACTCGTAATCACTAGACATTTTCAACAGAAAATAATCATGAATAGGGAAACTGAAAACACGCAAAATGAGTAACAGAACACAATATATACTGAGAAAAAAAGACACTAATTTACGATTATCATCTCTTCTACAACTAGGAGAAAACGACGATATTCTTTCTAGCAACAACACTCGTTCTTGGTGCTTCACTGTTCCTAACTACAGTCTGCTTGATTCTACCGAAATGTTGTTTTATGGCTGGAAACTTATATATGTATAACATTGGATTTAAAACTGGTGGCAGTATCGACGTTATGTAAGCAATCTGATGGAATAAAAGGCTCTTAGTCATAGGGTGCTTCTGATCAACAAAAAACAAGATCTTCAGCAAGAAATAAGGGGACCAAGTGATGAGAAAAACCGCAAGAACACAGCTGATCATAATACAAGTCCTTCTGAATCGTTTGGAGGCTAAATGTGACCGTGATTCCTTTCTAGGTGGTTCAGGTTGGAGTTTGCCCCTCGAAGTTGAATTTGAACGGGAGCTGCATGGTTGTAGCTCATATGCGTCACACCTCTTCGATTTCACTGCTAACTTCCAGTTACCCAACTCTAAAGGAATTTGATTTTACTATTTTAGTATAAATAAATAAGTTTGCACTGGATATTTATGTCCTTTAGAAAAAAGAAAAAACGTTTTAAAAGTATATTAGGACGCAATGAAACTACCGGACCACGATGTATGGGGACTTGCCACCCCATGGCAACATTAAAATATATCGACTCTGTTACATCGTTTCCTGTTAATATAAATCTCCGTTACAAAATGAACTGGGATGAGAGCCCTACATTTTAAAACTAAAACTGAAAGCACAATACTGATTAAGACTACTATACAATTTATATTCATATTCATTTGCTATACCTGCGACGAGTTTCTTTGTGGTATTTTCATCCTTTTCATAACAAGCATCAAGCGTTTTGTCCGCACCTTTAACCCTTCCCTAAAAATCCACCAATTAATTAATAACTCTGTTATATCTTTATATCGTGTCATATAGTTTGAATGCACAACTAATAGTAAGTGTTTTGGTTATCGTCTATTATTATCAAACTAACCTTAGCGATTGTTGCGAGTTTTGGTTTGTGCATTGTATTGACCTGTGGTAGATTTATTTTATACATCTTGACAATTAATCGTGAAAGTAGGCAAATCGATTGAAGCTGAAGAGTCTTTGATATTATTTGTCATTATATGCAATGTTGAATGGATACGTTAATTTTAGGATGCTATATCTTTAGATAAGGATCACGAAAGCCAATCTTTTTGAGCTGTCTTGTGCTTGACGGGATTGGAAGCGAAACTGATGTCTGACAGAATAACAAAAAATAACTCCCCTTGCCATTGACAGAAATAAAGAACTATTCATATCAGTATTGTAGGAATTTACCCTGAGGAGAAAGGCGGAGTAGCTGAAAACTAATATCAGAAGGGATGTTAAAGGAAATATTTTATCCAGGTACACGAGGGCCAGATGAGTCGTATCCATCTTATCATACCCAAAATAAGTACACATCCCAATGTGCTTGAGAAACCTGTGGAGTGGAGTACTGATTATTTTCATGATCAGAATTCAGATTCTTTTCGTTCATATTTGATATTGACTGAAAATTAACACTATGAACATTATAGATAAAGAGTAAAGCGACTGAACTTTAC